TGGTTTCATATATGATTGTTGTAAAAAGAGATGATTTTAAGTGAGAAGTGTTAAAACGATTTTATCTGGAGCAAATCAAAGGGCAGATGACACAGATGATCTTCCATTCCATGAGGTCAGACTGTTCAGCTTCTTCCTTCTCTATCTTCTTCTGCCTCTTTTCCCTTCCACTTTTCCACTGTCATGATGTACGCCAGTTTTTGACTGTCTGATCAAATCCCTCCACCTTTGATGGTCAGATGTGATGGACTTCAAAGTTGCATGCCTAAGGCCTGTCCAGTTAGTCACGTTTTGTAACCAGGTCTTTCTTGGTCTGCCTCTTCTCCTCATTCCCTTTACTGAGCCTTGTTTTTGAGAGGTCATTATATATTATTACATGTCCCTACCATTTTCTACCTTTTTACTGTAATCGAAAGAGGTTCATAGTTGTCAATGTGCTGGATAATTATCTGGTGAACCTCATCATTTGTGATGTGGTCTCTGTATGTTATGCCAAGACTTTTTCTGAAAGATTGCATGTCCAATGCGTGCATCTTCTTTTCGAGTTCAGCTGTTAAGGTCCACATTTCACAGCTATATGTAAACGTACTAATAGTTAGTGCTCTTAGCAGTCGAAGCTTAGTTTTAAATGAAATATTCTCTATGTGAGTTCCAGGGCCCTATTGTGGGGAAAACAAGAATAGACCCACTGCCTATCCAAAAGCATGTCATAAGAGAAAACTAATTGGGAGCTTCCTTCAAAGGATTGCAAATGCCTGAGAAGCAAGGCACCAGCAGTCTGCATACAAATGAGTCAGATCTGTAAAACCGATGCACACGCAACACTCAGATTCTGGAACATGACTGCAGTCCAGAAGTGGATGAACAACCAGAACTTTCTGCCAGAGTTTACAGCTGGTGAACGCGACGAAGAAGTAGAAAAAAAAATGAAATATTTTTTAGATCTCCATAATATTTGCTGTTTGGCAGGGACTGATGTGTTCTCATTATTCGTCTATGAAACCATGTCTGTGCTGCTTACACATAATGTTTTTACGAATTGGCCAACTGTCCATGAATTATTTTCTTATATCGGGATAGGATTTATATAACTCTTGAGAATTATGTTTCTCACCTCAATTGACAAAGAAATATTGCATGGAATACTGTTCAGTTCACATATTGCTTACTTACCTTTGTCATTCTATACCCTTAATAAGTAATTATAGATGAACATAAAGATCACAGTTGAATAAGTAATTTATTTATATACATTTGGAGTAACATTGCCCGATGATTCTGCTTCCTTTCTGTCATGGTATATGTAGAATGTGCATGGTCCATAGTTCTTGATCAACTAGAGCTTGATGATAGCTGGGGTCAGTATCCTATTGGCCGCTTTAACTTCCCTGAGGACTTTCTTGTACTTATTTGATATGACGGGTTGACACCAGAAATATTTGGTCGTGATGCCGTCTTTGAAAAGGATTAACTTAGGCCCCACCTGTAGCAGGCTAGTGCACTATCTCTGGGCCGCTGCGGCTTCATTATTTCACACTTCACATGAACATATCATACAGCAGTTGTATGGTCAACTTGTATAGTTGTTTATTGTTGCAGACAGAACACCAGGTCTATTTTATTACTCAATACCTACTACACTCACATCAAACTGCAATTTGCATCACTTGTAAATTAATCAAAATTGCCTGTGTTTTAGCTATTTCTAGTGTTATTTATTTTGTACTAACTTGTCCAATTTTAATGTTTTTATGGATGAATAGAATCAGTCAGTTTTATCTTTTTCCTCTTTTATTATATTATTAGTAATTATTTTAGTGTGTGGTTTACTTTATATTTTAACTCTTTGAGTTCCAGAGGATTTAGCATCAGAGGCCCAAAGGGTATTAAATAGAGACATAAATCTGCGCATCTTGCATTCATTGGGCTTCCAAGTAAGAACCTATGAATGTATGATGCGTTCCTTGGGACTGAAAGAGTTGAGCAACACTTGAGATGTAATTTGGTAGCAAACTACTTGGTACTATTCAGGTTTTTCACCCCATCTCATCCGGCTCTAGATTTTGTAAGGAAACTTTATGTTGATTTGGACAACAGTATGGGCTTTGTGCTGTTCAGAAAGCATTGGCAAACTACTGAAAATAAAACTGCCTATTAAAACAACACCACAGCCGGTAAATTGTGGGGCAGCTTTGCAGCTTCATAAAGAGGACATGTAGTTGACCTTTTTGGATGTAAATGTAATAAATGACTGCACTAAACTGTTGATGATACCACATAAAGCTAAATAAGGACTACTGTATGGCTAGGTATTTAAAAAAAAACATTTGAATGTCAAATGCTAAGGAAACCCGCAAGTTCTGCAGAAGACAGTGCAATTCCTGCAGGAAATAAAATTGTAGATGTGTCAGTCCCATATGTTCATAAACCAGTGGACACTTTATATAATTTAGATAGATATATTTTAGATAGACAAGTAGCAGGCAGGTAGGTAGGCAGAGAGTTATGTGTAGCCAGTCTCTGTTACTCTGCTTCATTAAGAACATCCAAATAATTAAATATTATCACATATAAGAATAACAAATAGCTATAATTACGTTAAGTACACAAAATTAAACACTCTCATTATGTACACACACAGTGATCTGCATGCTCAATGTTACAACTAAAAATGTAATCAGTGGAATGAATATATGCCCTCCCTCAGCCTTTGGAGTCAGTATGTTAAGTGTACACATTATTATTTATGATAAATTATCTTCTTCTTCTTCCTAAAGTCCCTGCCATGTGACATTGGTAGTCATGTCTGTCCACAACCTTCTGTCTCATGTAGTTTCAATTGACTCTGACACTGATGATCCTCCATGCCATGATTTCAGACTGTCCCTCCAGCATTTTTTCTCTTGATTTCCCTCTGCCTCCCCTCCCCTCCAACTTTCTTACTGTCACGATGTACTCCAGTTTTCTTCTTCTCATCACATGACCAAATAATGTAGCTTGTCTCTTTCTGATGTGGGCAGTCAATTCTCTTCATGGGTCGGTTTCTTTCAAGACATCCTCATTACTCTTTTTATCCGTCCGGGGTATTCTCATTTTTCTTCTACAGAGCACATCTCTGCTGCTTCCAAGTAATTGTAAACTATCTGCCAACTGTCCATGATTCGTCAGTGCATCATGGCACTGGAAGAACAACTGTCTCAGTATTGATTAACAGTACATGAGGTTGAAGGCTGTGGACAAACACCAGATGGTATGGACTATAGGAAGCAGCAACTAACAACAATATTTATGAAGAAATTACACTTATCTATGATATCTCAGAAAACTGACCCTCTGAAATGCAACATCGAAGTAGATGGGACAAATCTCAAGCAAGCTGATATGTTTAAGTACTTGTGAACCCTAAAAACATCAGATGGAAGATGTATAAAAGAAGTTAAATGTCGAATAGCTCAAGCAAAGGTAGCATTTTATAAAATGAAGAATATTTTATGCAATCTTTCTGTCAGTTGAGAAAGAGAATTCTTAAAAGCTGATATATGGAAGTGAATCATCAATAGTTGGTAGATAGTGAAAAATTAACTGGAAGCGGTTGAGATGTACTTCTATAGATGAATAATGAGAATACTCTTCACAGATAAAAAGAGTAAAAAAGATATCTTGAAAGAAACTGACTCACGAAGAGAACTGATTGTTCATATCAGAAAGAGAATCTACATTCTTTGGTCATGTGATGAGAAGGAGAAAACTTGAGACAATTCATGACAGTTGGAAAGAGAACCCGAAAAAAACCGAGAGAAATGATGCTGGATAGCCTGACATCATGGCATGGAGAATCATTTCTATCAGAGTTGATTGAAAGTATACGAGACAGAAGGTTGTGGATAGACATGACTACTAACGCCACCTGGCATGGATTTTAAGAAGACAAGGGGTGTATATTTGGCCCCTCTGGAAGTGGTATACCCATGAATTTAGTTTCTTATCTCCATCGGACATTACCTAGGACCTTGCGGGACTGAAAGAGTTCAGGATAACAAATTGGGTGGGGTGGTATAAAAAGACGCCAGTTTTTTTTCAGGAAATTGAATCATAGCCTGTAATAGGTGTTTCGTCCTTTTTTAGGACAACATTTTTTGTTATTTAAAGCCCCACCCTGGCTTATGCCAGGGGCCGCAATATAGTCAGGCCATAAATTTGGCCAATTGTCTGAATGCGGTTTCTGGGACCTCTCCACGGCGATCCTCACCCACATGGTGGCACTTTGTGTCATCGGGTGTTTATCGCTTGTGTGATGTCCTAGTAGGGTAGAAAGTCAGTCAGTCAGTTCAGGAAATGGATTGTTGAGGAGGATGTGGATCTCTGCCTGCCCGGCCAAATATAATGCCATTTTTCAAAGTATGCTTCTACATCTTATTGATATAGATTAACTATCATCATCATCATGTAGCAGGTCCTTTGCAGAACATTGCATTCATCACGGTCTGCCTGAAAAAAACTCAGTCTCTTGCTAGCTCTCCCGCCTCATGTACTTTCATATTCAAGGTGTCACTTATATCCTGTACCCATCTTCGTTTTGGTCGGCCCCTGCCCCTCGTTCCTGGTACCATGCCTTCTGGTAATCCTTTTCCCAATCCGTCGTGGCCCTTGATATGACCAAAATATTTCAGCTTCCAAGACAGGATGCTGTTTATTAGCCAATCTTCCTTGATGTTCAGATCTTTCAAGATGTCAGTATTTCTCCTCTTCTTTGTCCAAGATATTCTGAGAATCTTTCTATAGTATTTCAGCTCAAAAGCCCTTATTCTTTTTCTTAAGGACTGGGAGATAGTCCACATCCGTATGTTGTTAAGGAAAGATGCATGCTCTCTAAATTCAAATTTTAAGCTGCTTGCTGGTGCTTAACCATAGACTTTTAATACTGTTTAATATTAACCATAGATTAACCATAAATATGAAATGTTCACATAAGGCAAGCATTGCTGGGGTCAGAGGACACGTCACTTGCTGTGTGTATCGATGACTTTCTGTACCCAATCCGTGTAGTAGGCCACTCGCGTGAACACGCTGGGGTAACCTGTAGTTTGACATCCGCTGACTCCCCATGAGGTCACGCCTGCTAGGTAGTGGTAGCCTTCATGTCGACATATCAGAGGTCCACCAGAATCGCCCTGTTGGGTGGGGAGTTTGAACATTACTGATATGTGTGGCGGTTTGTACAACTTTACTGATTATATCTATCTATCTGTCTGTCTGTCCGTCCGTCCGTCCGTCCGTCGGTCTGTCCCATGCATATGTATGTCTGACTATATTTACCTACTTATTTGCCTGTCTATCTGCCTTCATTGATCTACGGATGTCAAATCAATATCGGAAACAAATTAGTAAAACATGGAACCTCGCTTAAAAAGTCTTTAAAAAGCACCCCCTCCCCTTTTCCCTTTTTTTCGGCCTTACATCGCTTTAAAAAGTGGTTTTATAAGTTAAAAAATAGTTGTGTATTCTTAACAGGACGTTGCAGAACCTACCCCAGCATTTTTTAGTGTGTGTGGCATTTCTAGGCAAATTCACGTTCAGTAATTTGCCATTGCCTACTGGAAGGTCAGCTCTTGGTACCATTGTCGAAACCAACGCAAGACACATCGTGCGCAGCCAGCTGGGATCGAACCCCGCACCCTGGCATTACGAAGCGCGTTCGCAGCGCCTAAAGACGAATCATTTGACCCAATAACGATGCAGACAGCGAAAAAAGGAGAGTGAGAAGCAGCAACGAATCGCATAATGTTTAAATCGTCACTAGTCATTGGCATCATGAAGGCTAATAGACTGATATGGCTGGGACACAAAGAATCACAACAGGGAAGCAAAAACAGTGTACACAAACGGGTTGAATGAGAGTAGACCTCGAGACAGACAGTCGAGATATACAGAAGACAGTCGAGATATACAGGCAGACCTGCAAACACTTAAGAGTCCCCATTTGGAAAGAGAAAGCCAGAGAGATGACTGAGGTTTTGAACCACGGATCAACATCATGGCACACGGGTAGTAACCCATAAGTGCTCCGTTCTTCTTCTAACTCAAGTCTGAGTCAGAAGAAGCTCAGCACAGTGCACAGGCTCTTTAGCGCCGGCGAGGAACCTGAAATACTTTGGGTAGATTTTTAGCTCCAAACTTTGCCCTGGCAGTTATGCTGCTCTTTTTCGATTTCCAACTGCCAATAGATTTTTTTTTTTTACGTGCGCAACAACAATGCACACTGATGACGGGTGCAGCAATGAATCTCATGGGCCTGGAATGCTGGAGAGTAAGAATTATGTTTTGATTGGCCTTCTTGTGCTGTGTTTTGATATAATATTCCGTATTTAGAAGAATTCCTCATGTTCTTCTGTGTGTTTTTCGCAGATGTCGACGACGTTAACTTTTAGACAGTGTATATGTTATTTGTTTGTCAGTTTCTGTGTAACATTTTAATGTGTTTGTTATAAGGTGCGTGCCAGTTGTCATGAGTAATAACTTACATTGCAGGCTCCCCTGTCTCCATTGCCAACACAGATGTGAGAATTGAGAATTCTCTTCCAACCCCAGCGAGCTGAGCATTCCGAGTTTTTCCTGATGTTCACCTCCAGCTCTTTCAGCTCTGTGTCCACATTCTCTGAAAGATGATAACACGTTAAGACAACCTGACCTTGGATACGTATATTTTAGATTAGAAGAATAAACATATGAAAATAAAATGAGGACAGGACAGACAATAGTGGTCTTCTTCTTCTTCGCGTTCACCGGCTGTAACCTCCAGCGGAGAGTTCTGTTTGTTCGTTCACCTCTGAACCTTAGCCTTTTCCCAGAACCTAATGTTGCGTGCGCATCCGTTTTACAGATCTGACATATTTGTATGCAGACTGCTAGTTACTTGCCTGTCTGGCAGATACACTCTGACTTTGAAGAAAGTCCCCAGATAGTCGACTCTTACTACATGCTTGCTGGGGAGGCAATGGGTCTATTCTTGTTTTTCCTACAATGGAGCTCCGGAACCTACACGGGAAACAAAAGTACATTCGATCACAGAGTTGTAAGAATGGTCTTGAATGTAGTCGTCACGGTTGCCTTTTTTATATATAAGGTTAGGGTGAGATTCTTTTAGAATCAGGGGTGGTGAAAGCATCAGGTAGCAGTCTGAATGGAGAAAACAGACGGGTGGTCATCACCATCATCATCCAGTAACACTGCGTGGCGTTTGGTTACCAGTCGCTGTTGACTGTCTGATCAGCTCCCTCCACCTTTGACGATCAGTTGCCATGGACTTCATGGTTACATGCCTGAGGCCTGTCCAGTCAGTCAGGTTCTGTATACACGTCTTTCTTGGTCTGCCTTTTCTCCTCTTCCCCCTTTGCTATATGTACTATTGTTTTTGAGGGGCCGTTAGATCTAATTACATGTCCGTACCATTGCATTTTCCAACTTGTCACTGTACTTAAAATAGGTTCACTGTTGTCAGTGTATTGGGTGATCACAAGGCGAACTTCGTCATTTGTGATATGGTCTCTGTGATATGCTAATATTTTTTCTGAACGATCTCATTTTCAAAGCTAAGGTGGTCTTAGAAAACTATTAACATGGACGATGCTGGCTGTTATTTGTCATTACACGGTTGATGTTGATCGAGAACGCTGGGCTTTCATGCCAAAGACTCCGGTTCAAATCCTGGGCAAGGTGACTGCGTTGTTTCTGTCGGGGGCAAAAAAACCCACAAAAAGCACAGTTCGCGGCGACTGCGCTAGCCATGCAGGTCTAAATTCTCAGGCTCTTTGATAAAAAGTGGTAATTAAAGTTGTAATGACAGTAGATAGTTATGAAGACGCATCAGTTTGACAACTTTCTCTAAGCAGGTGCGTTTATTAATGAGTATTTTTGCGAACGAGAGAGGGTTAAAAGTCAACAAGCATAATTAGCAACGAACTGCTGACACAGAATCCAGTGTTTGCTGAAGGATGACACGATCTGGTCACTACTGCCAAGTCAGGACAAACACATATTTGTGCGCCTTCAAGCACAATTCTATGCGCCCTGGTACGTATTTATTTGTTTTGGGAGTATCGGCAACTGTCAGCCATTTCTGTTGGAAGATATAAGTGGTACTTCCGTCCGCCAGATCACGTCTTTTGCACTATTATCTCTTTCCAAACATTTTGTAATCCCCTCTTCATCCCTTCTCCGGGGTAATCCTGATCTTCCGGGAAAAGCGAGTTCTCGGTAAACAGATGCTTGCAACGTTACAGCAAGAATGTTAACACATGTGGGTGTAAACATTCATGTTCTTTTCTCATCTTAAAGATCCCATGGCCGTAACAGTAATTTTGTAGTAGGTTACGTATCTGGGTATAGTTTTTAGTTGTAAAAAAAGGGGGAAGGAGAGGGGGCAGGATGTAGACTAATGTCCCAAACAAAGTGCTTCCAGATCAGCTCGATTTCTTTAGAAGAAGAATTTCACGTAAGCGCCCTGTCCCCATCTTCAGCAGCAAGCGAAGAGTTCTAATTTCGATGGCACCAGATTGTATATCCGTCTGGCCTTTCCCCTGGGTGTTGAGAAGCGTCGGCCATATCCCCTGGTAACTCCTCGCAGCGACAGTCTCCTCAGACCGTAATGATTATTCGTATTCACATCATAAGCCCAATAGCTTGGAAAACAGTGGGCTGGGCTGGGTCCTGGAAAAATAGTACAATGGTGGACAAGGGATATCAGTAACATTCTAGAGGTGACAATTCACGACATAGAAAAGTTTGGTGGGGGCGAGTGCCTTTCAGATACACCATGATGAGACACACCCGTTCTGTAGAGGACCTGCTACGTTACAAATGTCTGTTTCACATCTAGCATCTATAAATATATTTGATTAAAGAAGGTAGGTAGGTAGTTGTACCCCACCAGGACACCACACAAGCTATCAACAAGCACCTGACGAAATACAGCAAAAGATGCCGGGCAATGTATTGTTTCCGCCTTCTTATTTTTCAAATTTATAATGGGAAAATACTGCTTTGATATTTATAAATGTCCAAAATAATAGAAAATTTAACACGATCGATAAACTTAGAAACTGCTTTACAAAATCAGTTTCTACCTTTGGCTTCGCCCCATCCCATGATCCAACACTCTTCCCATTCCTTCTGCTGCTTGTCCCGAGCCGGCAAGCAAGCGTGTCTAACATCGAACCCGGTCACGTCTGCAGGCTGAGATAGTCGAAGGAGGGCAATGTCGTTAGGGTAGTTGTCTCCGTTGACAAAGTCGGGATGCTGGATAGAAACATTGAATAATGAAAAAAAAAAAAAAAAAACATGTATGCATGAAATTTTAATATGTACTACCTAAGCGTATGTGGCTTGCTTTGCTTAAAAGCACTCAGCTCTCCCCCCAAAAACCACTATTAATTTTTCAGAGATTATTATTCTAAAAAGCATTTTCTCTCTTGGACTCTTCTGCCTGTCTTCCCCGCCAAACGTTGTGTTGTCGCGGGCAACTCCACTATCCCCTCTTATCACAACGCATTTATCCCCCCCCCCCCCCCCCGCACAAGAATGGGGGAAGGGGTCATACTGCTGTTAAGCGTGTGCAATGTTATGTCAAAATCGATACAACTGACAGGTTTCGCTTCAAAACAGAACGTATGGGCGAAGTGTTAGAAAGCGATATATATATACAAACACACACACACACATGTTTGTGTGTGTGTGTGTGTGTGTGTTAATTTTGTGGTTACCAGTTGTTTAAAAATAAGTTGAAAACTTCTCTTTAAATTCTTCTTCTTCTCTTCCATCTTGTACCTCATCGAAGTGTCGGGGCGCTCTTAAATTCACTAGGACTAAATCCTAAGACTAAATACAACATTCAGTGGATCTTGCTTCACTTCATATTTTAGCATTGGACTAGCTAGGCATAGTGTTGAAATAAATGTAGATTACCTTGGCAATGTAATCGATGGTTTGGGACGATCCATGTTGCCAAAAGACAGCTCTCCATTCGTCTGCAGAATTGAAATCTGGCCTGTAAAGTGACACATTTTTAGAAAAACTATGTGAACAATATGGAGGCCGTTTACAATCGTATAGATCTAGTCTCAGTTATTTATTGCACTGTGTGATTATGAACATGAATAATAGACGTACCACCATGGAGCCGCGTCCGGTTGTAAAAGTTATTTAGTTTGTAAGAATTGATTTATTTATGTGGGACTGGGGAAAATACCGTAGGGAAAAAATATGTGGATCGAGAAGTATGGGAACAAAGGGTAAACAAAAACGTGGATGTGTGTGTGTGTGTGTCTATGTGGGGAGGGGGGGGGGCGTGGGGGCGCAGAAGACTAGAAACAGTAGACCAGGGCGCAGAAAACCAGGGATCACAAGATCAGAAGAATGAGAAAGTCGGAAGAATGAATACACGGAATGGTTGGGTGTCCATGTTGAGGATTAAAGCCATTGTAAAACAACTCCCAACTTTTGCTGCCCATTCTACTAGCATAGACGTGGTAAATCCTGCACCTGCTTCTAGAAGTTTGGCCAGAGGAAATGAAACTGCAAAAAAGGTCACAGGCGAGGTTGAATACTTTGTGGGGGGGGGGGGGGCTAGAAAGGAGTTTCCACAGAGTTAGTTGAAATGGCAACTGTGTAAGATCGGGTCTATCTTGTGGGAATACCTCCAAATGGGCATACAGACAACATTATGAAACTACGGGACACGGGAGCATAACACTGGAGATCAAAACACATAACAAACCAGGAAACACAACCAGGAGATAGAAGAAACGAGAGACTGACAATTAACTGGCCACGATTAAAGGAGTTAGAATGGCATCTAAGATAGAAATATTACATTTAACGTAATGTATAAGCTTGAAGAGGTAAAGAGATAATCGAACGTGTTTTGGCCATAAAAATACTATCTTATCAATGCATAATGAATTTATGAAATACATAAACATTCGAAATTCAAAGAGTATGGATCATAAATTTGTAAGCATTACATAATTATTGACTAATTTACTATGATTTGTAACAATATTTCTTTTATGTATGTTTCAAAATGCTAACTTACCCAGCGACGCAATGGGCGGCGGTGACAACCCACTGGGGGTGCACTAGTGTGGCTCCACAAACATGTCTGCGTGCCCAAGACAGTTGGAGAGAAACCACCCAAGGCCAACGCCCCTGGCGGGCTGGAAGACCTCCGACGATCATGCTTGTCACAGACACACCACATTCTGAGGGAGAATAACGCATGTACGGCTGAGTGAACGTGAGTGCAATCGAAATCTAATGTCAATGATGAACAAACATACTCCATTGTAAAGAAACGAGTACAGTAAATGTCATGTCTATTTCAAGTGTCAATGGCACATACATGCACGCGTGCTCACATGCACACGTGCGCCCGCGCGCGCATACACACACACACGCCTCATTATGGAAACAGTTGTTCTGAAGTGCGACCGCCATTACATATTATTGATTCTCAGAAAATGATATTACTTCTATATGTTTCTTTCCACCACGAACCATGGTATAAATTACATAAACAGAAAAGAAATAATGAATCGGTTAATCATTCGGGTTTATTTTTAATTACTGTTTTAAAAAAATAAACCATATTGCCGTTCTTAGTTTTGTAATCGCCGTCTGTAGTTGGGTCAAGAATTGACATCGCAGCACTCGGGGCATTCCCATGCCTACTCCGTTCTCATCTTTAGCAGCAAGCACAGAGTTCCAATACTGATGGTGCCGGTCACAATCTGGTTATGTGTCCGTGTTACCTTTCCTCTGAGTGTAGTGAGCCGACCAGACCCTCTGGTTACACCCAGGTGCCTCATTCTCTCCAGGTCATAATAATTTTGTTTCTCTACTGATTCCGTTGCTTTTTCCCAAAGGAACTACCCGTGGCCTTCCCAGTGAAGTATGCCACTCTATTCGAAGCATCCCTGTCTTCACCTTTCTCAGCATGCTTTCAGAGTCTGCTACAATTACGACATGTGCATGCATCTTGTTCTCTAGCCACCGGAGAGCTGCAGTTACCTCCTCCACCTCCATTCTACTGCTAGATGTTGTCTTCAGAGTTTATGCAATATATACTGCTGTAGTGTGTCTTATTTTTACGTACTGTTTTCCAGATTACATCTTTTCACAGTTTTTTCTGCTTGTTGAACTCTAACAGTATTAGGATGGGACACTTGAGGAAAAGACATCATAAAGTCGAACAACCACATTCGAATACCTGACACCATTAGGAAACACATACTCAACCAAAAATACTTTGCCTCCAATTTTGTTTTGGAAACATTTTAAATATTTTAATATTTTCATATCCCTTTAGTACACTATTATTACTACTATTGCTTTATTATTATTATTCAGCACTAAAACCAGGCTTATGGAACGTGAAGCCCACCCTTACTTTTCAGAAAATTTGCACTTAGACGTATCTATCTCCCACCCCCCCCCCCCTTTTTTTAAACGATGTTTTCCTTTTATCTGCACCACAGTCTTTGCTAATGTTCTAATCTCTAGACCACCAGACAGCAGTAACGGAAAAATCTGGCCAGTTTGAGCCCCACCATGCCGTTTGAACCCGAACCACTTGCCTAGTAACCTTTTCACTAACCACTATGTTATCTATCGCCGTCCGCGACATGAATATGCACTATATAGTAATAGTAACAGCAGCAGCAGCAACAGTAGTAGTAGTAGTAGTAGTAGTAGTAGTAGTAGTAGTAGTAGTAGTAGTAGTAGTAGTAGTAGTAGTACTAGTAGTAGTAGTAGTAGTAGTAGTAGTAGTAGTAGTAGTAGTAGTAGTAGTAGTAGTAGTAGTAGTAGTAGTAGTAGTAGTAGTAGTAGTAGTAGTAGAAGGAAAATTTAGCGGTAGCTCTAGTAGTAATAGAGATGGTGGTAGTAGTAATTGTAGTAGTAGTCTCCCAGGTCGACCCAACCTAATTTGGATACCAGGTAATACCATTGGAAGTAAAGGTGGGCGGTATGATGTTGACCATATCACCCGTGAAGTGCTGATCGGACTATACACATATAAGTTTATGTTCCCGAAGAGCCACTGACGTTAACAAGGTTCTCTACTTTATAAACGCCAGAGCCGCCTGGATGTTTCGGCTAAACTCTTGCCTGCGGATCCGGGGTGCCGGTAGGTCAATACATATAGGTCTAGCCCTATATGCCCAATGTGTCTGAAGATGGGAAATTGTCATTTTGGAATTGTGATTTTCAAATATAAACTATTAAAGCGGTGTTCAGCCTCCAAAAAAGAACTAAGTAAATCTGTTATCAGCTAAGGTTAAAAAAAAAAAAAACACACACACACACACTGTAGAGAAATGTCATGAACAAGAAACTATAATAAAATATACAAACCTGGAGTGTACGGCGGCAGCGACGAGTTTTCTCTTTGGTATACTCATCATTTAACTCTTTAGAAGGAAGTCTCTGGTTATTGGCAGTTTGTCCAGTTTTATCATTAACTGGCACATCGATATCTTGAACTTGGATATTTTCTGGGTGGCCTTGAGAGTTGAGGCTTCTCGTCGAGCAGTCATCCCATCTGGACTGCATAGAAACACAGTTGGTCACTCTATTTGACCATACTTGGGTATCTGGACATGTGAGAATGGCCGCAACGCGATTCCTGGCACAGACGAAGAAAACCGAGCAGTTTTCCTCATCACGCACCCAATGAAGCTTCGACATAAAGCAAGGGCTTCTCGCCTTGTACGTCTGCAGCAAGACCTCATCGGTGACTTCGGTATAAGGCATGGATCCCGTGTGAACGGCTGGTGTGTTTAAATCAATGTTACTGAAATCAGATCCTGGCTGCGACCGGAAGCCGTCTGACAAATCTGGTATGTCCAACATGTTAACAGTCTCATAGTTTTGAAGTGCATCGGATCTATTATTTGTCGAGACAGTTGCATGTACACTTTGAAAATACCGATGCCTTAGCGGGTTTCTGTTATTTCCGCCCTTACTACTTTTAATTGCAGGAGTTCGTGGATCGGCGCCTGTGTTTATATCTGTATTAAGATATACTATATTTGAACTGAAAGGTACAGGGTTTTGTCTAAGTAATGAAGGTGCTATAGGCCCAGTTATGGAAAGGTTTGGTGAGATTATATTATTACTTGAATTTCTCAACAAATGTCGCAACACTCTACTTCTATTAATCCAGTCTACTGACGAATTATTTTGTCTATTATGTCCGAATACACCAGCAAACAAAACAAATGCTAGTAAATACATATGTAAAGAATGGAACGTCAAAATATGCACAAAACTGAAGCTGACTTTTTGCTTCCAGCACAGATAACGGCATCTTAGGAATGCGTCAAAGTTCTTGAATAATGTGTTCATTCCTGAACTCCCACAGTTAGCTACAATACTACTCATGTTGACCTCCTGTCAACTCCTGCATGGAGGCTGTGCAGTTTTTACACATGACTCCTGCAAAACCCTCCTGCACGAGGCTGTGAACCAACCGGATAACCATGCAAACCTGCCTGCAACTATTTGCTGATTGCTTTGGTTTTGTTTGCAGCGTGCCGTCTGGCAAACAGGTGAGATTTGGCTACCGTTGCAAGTGAACCAAATATAATTTCATAGCACATTATCGCCAGCTTTTTTACGTGTGGTCAAACAAAGTATTTCTCTTAAGGCAGACAAAGACGACCTTCAGGTAACGTCAACTTGGCGACAAAATCTCCAACACTAGTGAGATAAAAGGTGGATGATATTGTCAAAGATTGTCTTAATAACAGCTGTTCATAGGCGTATAACCATGACCTCCTGCAACTCCTGCAGGAGGCTGTGCGTATAACCATGACCTCCTGCAACTCCTGCAGGAGGCTGTGCGTATAACCATGACCTCCTGCAACTCCTGCAGGAGGCTGTGCGTATAACCATGACCTCCTGCAACTCCTGCAGGAGGCTGTGCGTATAACCATGACCTCCTGCAACTCCTGCAGGAGGCTGTGCGTATAACCATGACCTCCTGCAGGAGGCTGTGCGTATAACCATGACCTCCTGCAGGAGGCTGTGCGTATAACCATGACCTCCTGCAACTCCTGCAGGAGGCTGTGCGTATAACCATGACCTCCTGCAACTCCTGCAGGAGGCTGTGCGTATAACCATGATGGAGGCTGTGCGTATAATGACCTGCACCTCCTGCAGGAGGCTGTGCGTATAACCATGACCTCCTGCAACTCCTGCAGGAGGCTGTGCGTATAACCATGACCTCCTGCAACTCCTGCAGGAGGCTGTGCGTATAACCATGACCTCCTGCAACTCCTGCAGGAGGCTGTGCGTATAACCATGACCTCCTGCAACTCCTGCAGGAGGCTGTGCGTATAACCATTGCCACAAAAAGAGTTATGGGCGGTTTACTTGAGCTTATCGATCTTCTGTCCATTCCGCGCACTAGGAAAACAGTTTACTATACTTTTGCCTTCTTGCGAACTATGAGTGTACTAAGTTAGGTTAAATAAAAATATGAAAGACAAGGGCGACATACATAACAACAGTAAGACATATTTGGATCTTGATCGCAAACAAGTTAGCAAGAAAAAAAAAAAAAAATTAGTTAATTCGATGAACTGTTTTAATTTTTAAGGGATTTATGAATTTGCAATTTATAATTTCGGAACTACAAACGCTATTCAAAAATATAACTACTATTACAGAGTGTTAACACATCCGTTTGTTGCTAATCTTGTCATTCCCATGTGGGATGCAATTTTTATTTATTTGGAAGCCCTATCCCGGCTTTTGCCGGGGGCCCTAGATATAGCTGGGCCTGAGATATGGCCTAACGGCTGAACGGGGATTCCGGGACCTCTCCACGGGTGATCCTCATTCGCATGGTGGCACTTTGTGTCACCGGGTGTATGTCGCTTGTGTGATGTACTGGTGTGGTACAACTTACACACATACATCTGTTTGCGGCTTGTTTCATTAGCCAAAGAGATCAGTTTTCATTGTAATGTGATACTGTAGCTAACCTTAGTAGTTTCAGAGATGAATACACTGCTAAAGAACTTTGACACATTCCTTAGTCTTAGTCGAAGTTTCAACTTTGCTGCAATCGTTTTCCCCACACTTGCTCCGTTCATGTGTCGGTGCAAATCAAATGAAATGTCTCTCACTGTCTCATTTGAAAAACTGGAGAACGTCTTCTTCTTCTTCTGCGTTCGACATCACTCATGCCAAACATTGAGTCCCGTCTGGGTCACAATAGGATTGTGCGTTTAAGGTCGCCACCGGTACTCCATAGCTTCTCTTGCAATGTGGCTCCCTTGGGCCAAATCCAGTCTTTGCTGAGAGAGGTTAGGGCAGTACTGCAGTATGTGCTCAGAGGTCTGTCTTTCTGCTCCGCAATCACATGCAGCAGAATCTTTTATGCCTATCATGTACAGGTGTGCTCGAAGACCACAGTGTCCAGTCCGAAGTCTAGAAATTGATGTTTGTTCTTTCCTGTTGAGTTTGTTTATGTTGTCACTCTCTGATCTGTAATCTCCATTCTGCCTTCTCCACTCCCTCTTAAAAGACTGCTTTAGCGCTGTTTTTGGTTTCCTTGTAGCTGTGTGGTGGATGATGTTGTGGAAGATTACTCCCAGCTTTTGCCAACTCATCTGCTCTCTCATTTCCTTGAATACCACAGTGGGCTGGTATCCACTGCAAGACACGTTCTGCTTCCTTTGAGAGTAGGCCAATGTTGGTGCATGACCATATCGCTAGTGCGTAGATGCCCGGTTTTTAGTACTGGAGAACAAAACAATTACTCCCGGAACAATCCAGAAATATGCACACGCATATACACAATGCATATTTCAGTTGCTAGAGGCGAAAAAGCTTACAGTCGCCACCAGAAATGCAGTTTATCTAAAATATTTTATAGACAATAATAGGTGGGTGGTGTCAAAATCGCGCCTACCACCTTTACTTCCCATGACTTGGTTCCAACTTAAGGCTGGGTCAACATAGGAATCCACACTAGACAGGGAGTGCAGAGACTCGCCAGCAGAATCAGACATACAAGAACTTAATCACGACTATTCCCGCCCAAGTAATGTGATTATCAAGATGGCTCTGTGTTTAGAGGCAAAAGAAGGGAATGGAACTTCATCACAAAAGCAACTTTTTTGTTTCGTGTGTCATCTTTCTGTCTTTACAGACGATAATATAATACTGTACCCCGAGGAAGCATAGGACTCAGCCCGTGGCGAATGTGACTAGCAAGAAAAGTCTCCCCCAATTAAAGTATGGTCCGAGTCCCTAGTGAAAAAAAGCTTTTTTATCCCTTAAAGACAAAGTGTCCGATAAATGTCTGCCGGTGTCTCTCTGCCAAATGCCAAAGTATATCACCTGTCCGATGAACCAATCGTAATCTTTGAAGGTAGTCAGCTATTTTGCGACTGTAGCGACAATATAACACCAAATCTCATAATACCTGTTGCAAAGTTACCATATCGTCTTGTCCCTGTCCGAGAGTCCGATAAAGTGCAGCAGGGGAAGATCGTGGCCTGGAGTCATAAACCAGGTCGGCCCACCTTCCGAGATTGTCTAGGAAGACATGGGCCGAAACAATCGTCGACGAGGGATCTTTCTACTGATGAAAGGTGGATCCCTGATGTCCATGCTTCCCCGTGTTCTTAAAAGGGATTTTGGGACCGTTGCTGCCATCATTCATATTTAGTGTGTTTCTTCTCAGACGCTCAGCTCTCATTCTTTCTGCAACTTTTTCTTCCTTTATTCTCATCCCCTTCCTAATTTGCCCCGTCCACGCTGTATCATTCATGTCCCGTTTCACACATCTTTATATTGCAGTAGAAGTCGGCCTCAAAATCTTATACCCATCTGTAATTCACCTTAGAGGATGTTCTAAGAGACTATCCATTCTCCAGGTGTGACAGTCACCTGAGCCTTCATAGACTGAGCCTTGCAAAAACTGCTGTATAACTTTCCGTCCTTTTTAGGATGAAATTTTTCGTTATTTGAAGCCCTACTCTGGCTCTCAACATGTGTGAACAAGTGAATAAAAGTAAAGGACTCTTCTCCACGCCTTTAGGCGTATAGGGCATATAGGGCTAGACCTATATTTGTATAGACCAATCGGCACAAGATGGGTGATGTGGTCAGCATCACGCCAAGTAAATAATGTGGAGGTAAGCATAGATCACTATGGTCTGGAGAGAATGGTATGCTGGGACTAACTAAGGGGTCTAGTTGACACTCTACACTCAGAGAAAAGGCGAGATGGAAATATAAACAGAATGTTACTGGCACCATGGGAGTTGGAACTCTAGGATGGAATGAGTTAAATCAGTGCTGACCATAAATGAATGAATTAGGAAAGCTCTTTGTCTTCTCAACTGACATTTAACTTCTGTGACACTTCTTTTCAAAACTGGACCATATGCGAACATGTCAAAAATGTGGGGTGAAATCAATGTTCCTCTACATCGAGGCAACAAATCAAATGCCTTGGACTACCACAAGACAGTGCACCACAGAGAATATAATCACTTGGAGACAACAGAAGCAGAGCCAGGGGCTGCACACACAAGTCATGGATAGATGGAATATCCAAGGTTGCGAATATCAGCATCTTTGAAGCATACACCAAGGCTTGCACCAGATGCCTCTTCAAAACCAGACATTGAGAGATAGAATAGGGTCTAGATGAAAGAAGAGCAATATCTCTCAATCTGCTGTTATCAGGGCATTTAAGTACCAAACTGGCTTGCTTCACTGACTTTGATTTTTCATTCTGCATACATTTTCTTTTTTGAAATCATCATTACTTTGGGAGTTGCCGTGGCGTTGGCGTCTAGATGCCCGCCTGCGAATCGGAAGGTCGTGGGTTCGCATCCTGATGGAGCCAGACTTTTTCAAAAAATGACCTTGACTCTCAGGTCGACCCAGCTATGAGTGGGTACCAGGTGCAGTCCTTGGAAGTTAAGGCGGCCGGCGTGATGCTGACCAACCACATCACTCACTAAGTGACGATTGGTCTATAATATAGGTCTAGCCCTATATTCTTAATGCGCCTCAAGGCGTGGAAAAGGGACCTTTACTTAATTACCATTACTCTAATTTGTTGACTGTTCTCTTCTTTTTATCCTTCACCGGCTCTGAACTCCAGCAGAAAGTTCTGGTTGTTGATGCACTTATAGGCTTTGGTCTTGCTTCAGGACTCGAGTTTTGCATGCACATCTGTTTACAATCCGCACTTATTTGTATGCAGACACTTACTTCCTTTCCTCTTGAGCAGATGCACTTCATTTTAGAAGGAAACAGCCCTAACTAGTTGTATTTTACAACATACTTGTTAAGAAGACAGTGGGTCTATTCTTTTCTCCTCAAAATGGAGCCTCGGAACCCAGAGAATTTATTTTGGCAGGACAAATTAAGATTTTAGTTTTGAATGTATGTTACATCTTTAAGAAAGAAATAATTAAAGATACTTGTTTCATGTTTAGCGTGTAAGGGTGTGCTAAGGTTCTCTGCACTGCAGCCAGCAGTGTTAAGGTTGGCTAGCTTCTCTTCTGAGAAGTGAAAAGTGAAATTTAAGTAGCCTGCCAAAGACCTGTAGAGCACCCAGGTCAACATCGCCTCCTGGTGGAGCACGCCGGAAAACTCAAGCTACGAGGTTTCAGGCTAACGTGGAAATGGCTCACCCGGAAGGAGACGGGTCCCAACCAGGTCAGATTTTCTCCTGCCCCGCCACATGATGGGCCTAGTAAGCCAGCAGTGGTGTAATTGATTGTTACTACACTAGAAATATTCCATACAGAAAACCACCACATTGGGCTACAACCTGGTATCAGTGAGACGACAAAAGAAGAAGAAGTTACATGTGTTGTAAAGCGAATGCTTGTTAGGCACCACCTACTTGCCAACTGTCTAGAGGTGAATGATTGATGCTTCACAACATCTATATGAAAGTTACCAAGTCGACCTTCTGGCGAATAATTGGGTTCCCTGCCGGAGAGTGCTTAACTAACACAGTTCACATCATAGGTCTAACACCGATAACCGTCAGCAACAACATGTTTAAAGTAATCTCTATAACTGGGCGTCAGTCTATTTATTGGGAAGAAACACAGTGTGACAATGAAGATGATTTGGTCATTACCGAACTACTGTCTGTCTAATACCCCCAGATACTCACTGATCTGCCTCCCAGGCGGTGTCATCTCAAAGGGGAACACCTAGCTCGACTTGATGTTGACTCCACATCAGATGCCTTCGGCCTAAGGGCCCACTCCTGGGGTCACCAGTAGCCTTTCATAATCGCCTCGGTTATGTGCCCACACTTTGGGTCACCAAAAACCGTTACATAATAACTGACTAGAGACTTTGCCCCCGGCACACCAAGTCTCCTGACACACAGTAGCAATCAGCAATCCTACCCCTGAACTGATCAGAGACCCTGCCCCTGGCACACCAAGTCTGCCGACACAGTCAGAACCCGACAAGGGACGATCACACCCTCGCAGGAAGATAATATAAAGTGTTGGGCTCTTAATGCCTTGTCTCCACTAACTGGAGCATTCCCAATCATACACTAAACTCTAATGAACAATCCAAGCTTTCAGCATAATAAAATAATACACATGATTACTACTAAAAGTCACACCCATCTCTACAAATGTCCGCACTATCACAACGACTGAGAGGCACTGACTGGACAACCATGGATTCCTTCCAGCCCAGTACCCGTCCACACATGAGTTGCATTATCCGTGCAAACCATTGTTAGCCATGAAACTCCAGAAACACCTCTTTTCTAATTTCGTGCACAGCATGGACCTTTTGCACTTGTCTCTCTGCCATCATCATCATCTAACGCCTTTCCGTCTGGTGTAGGCAATCGCGCCTCTCCCCTGGTACAACTGATCAGCAAAGTTAGTTTAGCACACAACATGTTTCTAACTTTGTAAATGTTGTTAGTGCAAGATGATTTGATGTGAAAAAAAAAGTTTTTGTTTTCATACTAAATGAACTGTGGCAATGATAATGGTCTATTGCCACATCAGATAAAATACAGCTAAATCAGTAGAATGTGCTCTTTTTGAGTGAAATCTGCAAAATGAAAGATAGCTACAGTGAAAATCAGCTACATTAGTGAATATTATTCGGTGAAGCCTCCATCTTTTCCAGGTATATAAATATTTCTTTTTTATAAATAAAAAAAAAATCCACCACAGAAATCAAGCCCTAGTATTGGGGGATCATGAACTTGCTAAATGCGTTCGCTAACATTTAGAGCTGTATAGTGCTAGTTATTGAATAAACAAAAATAAAACAAAAAATAATTTTCAGCTTCATTAATCAGGTGTCACCTCCTCAATGAAGGTAGGTCAGCGGCAATGTATCTCCATCACTCTCTAACTAGTCAAACACTCTCTGAGACCCACTTTCTTCCATTTGTAGTATTTTCTACATGCTGGCTGAGTCTTCTGTGCACTAAGCTCTCATGCTGGAGACCTGAGTTCATTCCTCAGTTAGGGAGGAAGATTTTATTCCTGTCCAAGGCAAAACTAAAAATCCTAAACTGCACTAGCCAGGCTGCCTTAAATCATCAACCCCCCCCCCCCCCCCCCCCCCCCCCCCCCCCCCCCCCCCCCCCCCCCGAGTGTTCCACTGCCCTAAAAAGTTGTCAATTATAGTCTGCCCTGGCTCATTCACCTTTTAACATTTTCCTCCAGTAATTTTTAACTGAAGTGTTCTAAAATAATCCTTTAGACAAGTTCTTCTTCTTCTTTTGTTTGCTTGAAATAAATTACCTATATCTGCAATGCTGTCTCTAGTATGAACTTCACTGTCGTTTGTAATTCATTAAGCCGCTCGTAAAGTTTGGCTTCCACAAATATCTCTCTTGGCCAGAAGTTTTGCCTGGAAGCGTTGAATCTGGGACAGTCTTGGATAACGTGATCTGTTGTCTCAGGTGCCAGTCCACAGGTACACATGGCTGATTCGCCAATCTTCAATTTTGTATACATGTGGCAGCGAAGTCGATTGTGCCCTGATCTTAGACGGAGGATAATGACTTGCTCTGGTCTGTCCATAATATGGTAATCGTCTTGTGCCAGTTTCGGTGGCATTCTGATTGATTTAATTATTCTCTTCTTTCTTCAGACAAGTATATGTTTATTTAATAATGCCCATACAGGGCATTGGGGGGCTGAGTGGTCTCGAGGTATGGCGTCAAACCCTGACAAAGGCTGAGATTTTTTTCACGAGGACTTATAGTAATTTCCCTGGGTCTCTGGGTAGTAAAGACAGGACGCCTGTGTGTATTGTTGCGCACGTAAAAAATACATAGGCAGTTGGAAATTAAAAAAGAGTAGCCCAGGCAAAATTTGGAGTTAAAAATCTACCCAAAACATTTTAGGATCTTCACCGTTGCAACAGAGTTCGTGCACTGCGCTGAGATTTTTCAGACTCAGACTTGAGCTAGAAATAGAACAGAGCACTTATGGGTTACACGCGTGTGCCATGATGTTGATTCGTTGAATAAACATAAACATAGAGGGCATTTAAAAAATAAAAAGAGGAGATGGGCGAAGAGCACAAGGCAGTAAAGAACAAGATGGAAAGATTTCAGAGAAACTCTACATAAGCAAGAAGTGTCTATAGTTGAGGTGGCCAGAAGAGCAAGAAGGAGAACCTTATGTCCCCCTCCACACCCCAGCGGTAAAAGAGGAAGCTGTCATACAAAAAACACTAAACATAAACCAACTGCTATACGACTGCTGTCACAAGATTTATTTCACATATATGTTAAACATGAATCACACAGAACAATAATGTTCACTTGTATTGACACTCTATCTTGATGCAACAGGTTAAATCACAGCCTTCGAACCTTCTTTGGCCGGTTGCCATTGTGTGCTAAGGGTGTGGTGTCTGTAATGGATACGATGTTCAAGCCAGACTGCTCAAGTGCCTTTAATGCCGGCTGAAAATACAGAGAAGCAGTAACCCTAAAGGTCAATGTAAAAAATGTCAGTAACAACTCTTCTTCTTAGTATTCACGGGCTGCAAACTCCAGTGGAAGGTTCTGGTTGTTCATCCACTTCTGGACTTTGATCTTGTTCCAGTACCAGGAACTTTTGCATGCACATCCATTTTACAGATCTGGCTTATCTGTATGCAGACTGTTGGTTCCTTGCTTCTCATGCAGATGCACTCAGACTTTGAAGGAAATTGGTTGCCATGTGTGAGGGGCAGTGGGTCTATTCTTGTTTTGCCCAAAATGGGGCCTCAGAACCCACATGGGGAGTCAACAAAAACAATCATCATCATGTGCCTTGAAGATAAGCGCAGGTGGTCATAATTCACCAGTCTACATAATTATGAGAATCACAGATCAGGCCAGTGCTCTTATCCTGCCCCATTCATGAGGCCAGGCCATCCAGGGATTTATCTCTTTGCCTTCCCCTGCACTTTTCACCATCAATTTTGTTAGACGACTCCAAGTTTTAAAATTTATTCTTTATCACAACATGTCCGCACACACAAAAATCAATCATTCATCCCTGACTTCTCTAATCTTAGTCTTAATCAAGGTTCCTGTGACAGTAAAAATCAAATGAAATGTCCCTCACTGTCCCATTTGAAAAAAAACTGGTGAACAAACAATTAGTCCTGGAAAAATCCAGAAATATGTACATGCAGTAAATGCATATGGCAGTTGCTAGAGGTGCCAAAGTCAACAGTCACCACCAGAAACCCGGTGTGTCACTGATGGAAGTAATCGGGCACAATAAGTTGGCTATACACACGTAGAATAACCACATAAGGTATTTCACCGGCTCACACCTAAACTGGCTACCAACCATATTGAACACCACAACACTAGGCATTTAACATGAAAAACAGAGCTCACAGGGCTGCACTAAGCACTAAACTCAGGAGCTCAGGCAGCGAAACTATAGACTACTACCCATATGAGGAAACTGCATAAGCAAAGCGTTATCATAGTCAAAAATAACTTCGAAGCTTAAAATTCTGCCATGCCTAGTCCTCCATTCTTGAATCAGTTGAGCTTATTATTAAAAAAAAAAAAAAGTAAAATCCATTACTATACTGTTTGTTGGCACCCTTGCATCTTTCTAGTTGATAAAGTTCCACTACGCTACAGGGTGGCACAGCAATCACAATCCATAGCAACAGCAAGTGTGTTAGTAAGACCAGCTCACATTCAGACAAATCTTCCTCAATAAGTGAATAAGATTTCATGACTATTGTTGCTATCACATGTATCTGACATGTTTTTCCCCAGACATTCATTTATTAACCTGTCTGCAATCCATTTTTTATCCCTATTTTTTTTTCTAATTTTCCTCATCTGTGGATGAATCCATAACATTGTGTTCTTGTTCCAAGACATCCTCACAATACCTGTATCAGTCATGTCCCACTTGTACATACAAAACTAATATATGATACAGGTGATCCTATAGCAGCTGCTACCGAGTAAGGTTTGAAGTGTTAGATCTTCACCTACAAGGTGGAGAGGCCAGTTCTCTTTCCTTTCACTTTCCTGTATGCACATTAAAAAAAATGTCTAACAATGATCACACCAAAAGCTATATCGTCAGTGCCTGACTGAGAAGTTTTTGAGGCATCTTACACAAACCAGTCACTATGCAGAATGCATAGGACAAATTTCAGTTCGGTCAAAGTGACTGGATATTTTTTTTCTTCTTTTGTGTTTGTCCTTAAAAGGGCGGTTTGCGGATTGCAATGTAGTTTACAGCTATCTGCTTTATCTGAGCCATGCAGCCTAACATAGCAAAAGAGAAAATCGTCTTATTCGCGTTAATCGGACGTAAGCTCTGGCGGAATATTCTGGTTGTTCATCCACTTCTGGACTCTAGTCCTGTTCCAGAACCTGAGTGTTATGTGTACATCCGTTTCACAGGTCTGACTCATTTGTATGCAGACTGTTGGTTCCTTGCCTCTCAGGCAGAAGTACTCTTGTCTTCGAAGGAAGTTCCCAATTAGTTGACTCTTACAACTTGCTTTTGAGCAGGCATTAAGTCTATTCTTGTTTTCCTCACAACTGGGCCCCAGAACTCACATGGGGAAAAGGAGAAAATGACTTAGAGTGCACTGGGTGAAGATATTTGCTACACTAAGAGATAAAGGGCAGAAGAAGAAAAAAAGGAGAAGGAGGAGACAAAGAAGAAGAAGAAGAAGCAAAAGAAGAAGAAGAAAAAGAAGAAAAGAGGAAGAAGGATGAGAAAAAGAACAGATGAAGAAAAAGAGGAAGAATGCACATGCAGCCACAAACTATATATAAACTGATAAAAAGATTCATACCAGCCTGCCAGGTCCAATTCCACTCAAACACACACGAACTGTTCTCAGGTTCTTTTTTAACGCATCCTGAAAGATAGCCAGGTTATGATTAATAAACAACTTTATGAACACTGTAACTCTTTTGCCCCATAAAATCTTTAAAATTTATCTCTTTAAAAAATTTGTTAAAAACAAATGCATCATTATAATTCTCTAAAAATCTAACACAAGAGTCTAATGTAAGAAGCAGCAGAAGAACACACTGCCAATTTTGCTGTGAATGGTGAGAAGTTTAAAGCAATTAAGTGATTTGGGGTTGTTTTACCATTGTATATGATAGTCTGCTGTCGTAATACTGTCCTGTGATTATTAAATGTGCAATTAAAACCCGAGGCCATATTTCTGATTCACCCTGTTTTTACCAATGTAAAACAATGGGTAAACACTTTGTAAAAAAGGACCCTCCAATAGATGGAAGCAGAGGTCTGCCTTTATTCCTCTGACTCTATGAATTCTGATGCAAGGTCATTCTAATCATATTGTTATCAGGCTTTCTTGATGTACATCCTATCTAGCTTTCTTCCTCACCTCCAGATGCAGCAGAATTTCTTTAGTTCTTTCTCAACATTCTACAAGGAAATCAGTCAACCACCACTGAATTCCTTCTGTTCTGCGCTAGCACCAGTTTACTAATAAATTGTACTTACTCCTGCTAAAGCTATTGCTGCTATGATGAATGAATGAATGTTTGTACTTTACTAATAAATTGTACTTACTCCTGCTAAAGCTATTGCTGCTATGATGATGAATGAATGTTTGTACTTTACTAATAAATTGTACTTACTCCTGCTAAAGCTATTGCTGTTATGATGAATGAATGAATGTTTGTACTTTACTAATAAATTGTACTTACTCCTGCTAAAGCTATTGCTGCTGCCTGTGCTGCTACATTAGTTCCTTTCCTGGCATTTCTGAAACCCACTCTTCCCTAGGATAGATAAAACAAACATGTGTGTATTCCATTTTACAACCACCATTTCTAGAATAACATCCATTTTTCAGTTTTATTTGACATCTCACTTTTCTTACTCTCCAGAGAAAAGTATTAAACTGTGCTATATCTTCTTCTTATAGTCCATGCCATGTGGCATTGGTAGTCATGTCTATCAACAACCTTCTGTCTCCTGTTCTTTCAATCAACTCTGACACAGATGACCCTCCATGTCATGATGTCAAACTGTCCAGCATCTGTCTCTCAGTCTCCTTCTGTCTCTCCTCCACTCCAACTTTCCTGCTGTCACAAATTACTCCAGTTTACTCCTTTTCATCACATGACCAAAGAATGTAGATTGTCTCTTTCTGATGTTGGCAATCAGTTCTCTTCGAGAGTAAGTCTCCCTCAAGATATCCTCATTACTCTTTTTATCTGTCCCAGTGTATTCTCATCAATTGTATATATGCAGACATAGAAATCAGAGCCCATGGTGATGGCAAGTGTGGCTAGCAAGACCTGCTCATATTAGGAAAAATCTTCCACAGTCAGATATGGTTCACGTAAATTATGAGCACACACACAATATATTACATAATTAATTGTCTGGCATATTTCACTGTCACAAACTAGATGCATTAGTACAAAACTTCATCAACATATAATGAAACCTTATAACTGAAACACACAAATCAAATACTCTTCTTATTCTGTATATCTCATCATGTCAGTCTTAGAAATCTGTTGTTGTACCCGTCAACTTACGACTTATTAAATTAAACAGGTTGATGTCAACATTGGTACAGTCAGCCCAAGTTCTAAGGTGTCTTCCAGTAAGTTGCTTCGGTTCTTGCCACCATTTACAGGTTTGACAGGAATTTTGCCGGTACACTCTGCTGAACCTAATCCTCCATCAAAATGGCAGGTACTGAACCAGACCCTTGTTCCCACTTCATCAGTAAGTTCTTAGACTATGATAAGATACGACAGCTCTGTCTGATCAAACGTTAAAGTCGAGAGGATCGACTTCATTGCACCTTTTTTTAATCCCATACTGCTCCGTCTCCCTCCGCAAAATGGCTAGCTGCTTGCTGAAAATGCAGCGCAGAGCATGAACTCCACAGCTCCAGCGACAATTCCAAGGGATATCCACAAATAGCACTCGTGAACCAAACGGCGCAGCTATGGAAGGAACCCATGACTTTCAGAGTGGAAGGCTATAGGCTTGACCACTTCGCCACAGAGATCCCTTTAATCAAAGTTTGCACTTGGTCTATGACACCACTATTTCAGCTTGTTGAAGGTTTTCTAGTTGTGGTCCACTCATCACTGATATACTCATCTTTGTCTAAATTCTATCACTCCTTAATATGTGTGATGCTCTCAGAAAAAGCCTGAAGAATCATGTGAATTGTATCCACTTAGATATTGCCAAGCTTTTGGCAACATCTGATGCAACACCACAGCTGAAGCTGTCCTTGTTACTTGAAGCCAAAAAAATAACCTGACAGGTGTTCACTAACAGGCTACGCTGCCAGCGCCCGACTCTCTCTAGATATGGGAAAATACGATTCCATGCACACGAAGGTACCCTACATCCTTCCCACTAGAGAATATCTCCAGGGCTTGAATTGTTTCCATGAGAAAAGTTAAGATGAAAGAATGTTTGGATAATTTCAAGTTTAAATATTGCGGATACAAACAATACATTGCACAATTTATTGCCAGACATATTTCGCTGTATCTCATCAGGTGCGTTACTACTACAGAGTTACATCAACATAAAATAAAGCACAAAACTGAATAAATTCAACTGAAATGCCAATAGTTACTTCAATACATTGTCTCTCTTTCATGGCCGCCGGAAGCTCACCGTAGTCACTGACTACCAGGGTAACTTCAATGTGCAATGTATTGTTAGTATCCGCATTATTTAAATTCATTACGGGAAAACATTGTTTTGAATTTCAAGTTTATCAAAATGGTATTCTTCTTCACTTTCTTCTCTCCAATTTGGTCCTTAAAAGGGATGTTGTGACTTACAGCTACACTACAATGTCTGCGCCTTTCGGCCCAATACATCTGATTTCAGCACACCTTTAACAACATACTTGTTAAGAGGCAGTGAATCTATATTCCCCACTCCAAAGAAATGGTGTCCCAGCACCAACAAAAGTGAAATTTATATTTAAAGATTCAACGAAATATTCAAATCAATCAAACAGAACCAAAATTAAATTAACAGTTACTGACTGCCACTCACAGACATAACGACAGAAAATAATCTTCCAGGGGCGCATATTAATACCAGTGATTTTTATTTTTTAAGATAGGGACGGAGCACTTACGGGAATGTCCTGAGTGCTGTGATGTCAATTCTCAACTCTGTTCAACCCAATCAAGGTGGCAGGAAGTATCCCAACAAATAACAATTAAACAAACAATGACAAACCAGGAACAAAATATACTTACAGCACTTGAAATTGCTAAAAATGTACCTGTTGAAAAAAAAAAAAGAATTAAATGCAACTTATAATATGTAACATACAGATCATAGTGCACATAATAACACTTTCATAATAAATACTTTTGTCAAAGAACCAGTCACTGCTGATTACCTTATATAATGTTCACCACTTCACAGTCTCCAGGACAGATTAAAAAAAAAAAAAGTAAAGTTCCCTTTTCACGCCTCTCGGCGCATCGGGCATATGGGCAGAGCGTCCCATATTTTTACAGACCATCAGCACTCTGTGGGTAATGTGGTCAGCATTACGCCGGCTGTCTTTACTTTCCCAGGACAGCCCATCCTGGTACCCATTTTAGGCTGGGTCGACCTGCGACGTCCCATACCACGATAAAAATCCACGCAGCCCACGCAGGTTTCGATCGCGGTATGCTGGCTTACGAGTCGGACTCGCAACGCCTTAGCCACGGACGCCGAGGACAGATAGATAATGTTAAACAGAAACTGTTAACTGCTGCAGCAATTGGAGAGTATAATTTAGCTTCCTCTTCTCTTCTTCTTTGTGTGAAAGACGGGTGTTTGGAAGGGCCGAATGTAAGACGGGCCTGCGTGCCCAATTTGTTACCCTTTGAAAATAAAGTTTGTTCATTTGTTCTTTCAGTTAACCTAGCGAAGTGCTGGAAAATGTAAGGATCTTGTGTTTACTCTTTCCAATTCTTCTTCTTCTGTCTTTCTATCCCCGAATGGAGCATAGGCCCTCAACCAACTCACGCCAATTCGTTCTATCCTTTGCCATTGCATGGAGCTCTCCCCATCTTTCTAACTTCATTCTCCAGCTCTCTTCTCCATGTGTTTTTTGGCCGTCCTTTATTCCTATGCCCCTGTGGGTTCCAATGCAATTAAGTTCTAGTTATGCTGTTCTCCTGTTTTCTCAGTGTGTGTCCTATCCAACGCCAGCGTCTTTTCCTCACCTCTTTCCAATGTGCTGTACAAACTAGTCTTCCTTTTTCTATAGTTGTTCTTGATGCCCCTGTTCCATTATTAAAAAAAAAAAAAAAAAGCTGTCATGTTTTTATGGCATGTGTGTCTTCAATGCTAAAGGACCAGTTTTAATATATGGCTGTGAATCCTGGACAATTAATAAATAAGGCAAAACAATTCTGGAGGCTTCGGAGATGTGGTTTTACAGAGGAATCCTTAGAATTCTTTGGACACACCCAAAAAAAAAAAAAAAAAAAAGATGAGATGTTTTGAAAGAGGCAAGGGCTCAAAGACATCTTATCAGAAATATCAAAAAACAGACATCATTAATTGGTCATGTTGTAAGAAGAAAGAAAGTGGAGCATGTTAAGACCATTGGAAAAATCTTGGGAAGGTGGTGGGGGGACAGAGGAAGACAATGTGAGACAGTGTGTGTTTGTGTTTTTTCCCCTCCTGTGTGTACATCTGTCTGTGTGCGTGAGTGAATCTATGGGTGTGTCTGCGTGTGTGGGTAAGTCAGTCTGTGTGTGCTAGTCTGTGATTGCCATCACCAGTCTCCCAGTTCTTCACGTTTTACAAAAGTGGCTTACTGAATTCTACAACAATTATCAAGGTATACAAACCACTTGAATCTGTAGCTGCAATAATGGTATTGTTGTAGGTGGCTCTCACATGGACTATGGGTAGATCTGTGTATTTGATTCCATTAAAAGATTGTGAATGTGTCTCTAATGTGGGAAATGATGACGTCCTGAAAAGAAAAGAAAAAAAAAAAAAATATATATATATATATATATATATATATATATATATATATATATATATATATATATATATATATATATATATATATATATATATATATATATATATATATATATATATATATATATATATAAAGTTGGTATAACAAACAATCAATGTTTGTTGTGGACAAGTAGCACAAAATAAAGTCGGCATATGCAAACAATTAAATTTTTAAATTCTGATTTATTAACTTTTTTGAATAATCAACGTCATGGCATATGTTTTTATATGTATGTTGTCAAATAGGGAATTTTCTGACACTGAAGAGATTACCCAATGACTGCACACATTAAAAAACCCTTGACAGGAATTCCAATTTTAAAGCATACCATTTAAGAATAATAACAGTATGTGTGACTATGCCTTAGAACAGGACACAATCGACTTCGCTGCCACATGTACATACAATTTAAAATCGGCAAATCAAACATGTGCACATGTGGTAGGCACCTGAGACAACAGATCATGTCCTCCAAGACTTTCCCAAACACAACATATCAAGGCAAAACTTTTGGCCAAGAGAAACAGCGGTGCAACATCAAGTCAAACTTTACGGGTCTGTGAGTGAATTACAAAAGACAGTGAAGTTCATACTAGAGATAAGATTGCAGATATAGATAATCTATTTCAAGTGAACGCAAGAAGAAGATGTGTGATTTTAACAACAACAATTCAGAGTTGAACATCAGTAACCAAACCATTTGAGAAAGGCTGAAGAGGAAATAAAAACAGGAATGAGGCCATACAAAACCTTTATTGAAGGACATACAAAGACGACAAATAAATAATTTATGTGGAAAAAAAATTAAGAATATCTTCTGATGATATATCATACAAGGCATATACTAAAAGAAGAGAGGGACATATAATAAATAACCTGAGGAAGACCAAGAACAAGATGGAAAGACATTTTTCAGAGAAAATACAACACTATCAAGGGTCTCTGGTTGAGGCAGCCAGAAAGGCAAAAAATTAAACTCCGTAACTCCTACAACACCCATAGCAGTAAAAGAGGAAGTGATGCAGAGGAACTAAAGCAGTCCTCAAAGAGAAAGTAGAGGATACAGACTAAAGAGAGTGACAGAATAAAAAAAAACAATAGGAAAGTAGAAACAACAAATTGTAAGCTTTGGATAGGACAGATAAAATAAAAACTGCAACCTGTAAATCCAGTGTGGGCAGATAGTCTCCTGAACATGTATCACTGAACTGCCCTAACTACTTCTGGCAGAGGCTGGGCATCTGGCCCAACGGAGCTAGATTACAAGAGAAGCTGTGGGGGACAACTGGCGACCTTAGACTCACAGCCCTGTTTCTCAAACTGGACTGACTGTTTAGCATGGCTGATGTGGGATGCAGAAGAAGGAGAGAAGGAGAAAAAGGATCCCTGCTGGTGCCCTGGAATTCATGCAGTGTGTTAAGATTCTCCATGTCTGATCTAAGGGAGGTGACTACAGTATTTGAAAATATTTGTATATAGAGAAAAAGAGATCCTTTATCAATAGGAATAAACTCACAGGGAGCAAGTACAGTGGGGATCTACCAGTCATCAGTAGAAATTATCCTCGTCGACACACGTTTCGGCCCACGATTCCTAGACGTATTCGGAGGTGGGCCCTCCTGAGTTCATGACGCTCAGGGCTGGTTCCCCGCTGCACGGAATTACCGGATGGTGTTTTACTTTCGGCCAGAGACAAGACGACTTGGTGGTTTCGAAGGAGGTACTGTGAGATAAGAAGCCGCCGCGGCAGCTTAATTAAAGCAGTCAGCTTGCCTGGACGACCGAGCGACAAGCTTACTTTGGTTTACCGGACACATGTTGGACTTTTATTAGCAGTTGGCAGAAGAACACTGGCAGACAATTCGGACACGATGGACTTTCAAAGGGATGAGAAACTCTTTTCCACTAGATACCCGGACCAGCTCACCAAGGCCCGTCCCCTACGTTGTTGCGCTGCGTCCAAAGCCAGCTAGAGGCCCTTTCGGCCACCTCTCCCAGTTTTTTGAGTGTTCGTTTCCGTTCATTACCGCGTAATCCTAGTTCTTTCACCACATAGTTGAGCGAAGTGGAAACGAGGCCTCTCGCTCCAACTTCGACGGCAAATACCCGTACTGTGTAAGCCTCGTTTCTCCTCAAACCGGCTGCTAAATCACTGTACTTCTCGAGCTTGTACAAATGATTCTCCTCCATACGCGACTCAAACGGGACAGTCAACTCAATCAGGATGAGTTGCCGTTTTTGCGCAGAATGGAGAACGATGTCCGGTCGCAGGCCGGTTTTACGGATCAACTCGGGGTACCGTTCATGGCCTGGCAGATCAACCGCCAGTAACCAGTCCCTCGCAGAGTCTAGCACAGATGGAGCGAATGCGTTTTGGTTGACCTTACCTTTTGGAACCTGCCCAGCCTTGAGGAAACGAATGGGGACGATACTAGAACTGGGTTATCGACTTGAACGGAAGTACCAGCTTAGCCTGTTTACAATACAGAGCCACGTCGGTCAGACAAGGCGGTGCACCAATCCACTTTCTCAAGGCTGTGTTGATTTTCTTTTCCATGGCTTCCACTGCAGTCATCGTCACCTCGTAGACTGACAGTGGCCATAGGAGTTTCGGAATCAACATGAATTGGAGACACCATACCTTGAATTTCCCGACCAGCCTGCATCGCTCGATCGCGAGCAGGCCTGTAGCCAGTGACTCATGTATTCGCCGGACCTCCGCTCTATCGGATAACTTCGAATCGTAAACGCGACCGAGACTCTTCACCGGTTCCTCCAGAACCGCGGGGATCTTGTTCCTTGCCACCGTAAAACTGGTTGCCACCACCCGACCCTTATTGATTGACAGACTCCTCGACTTCTGCGGTTTGAACTGCATACCGCTCCATTGGACCACCGCGTCCAATCTTTCCAGGATCGTGCGGGCAGACTCCTCGCTGCCCGTTATAATAGTCGTGTCATCCATAAAGGCACGTAATGGTGGCATCCAGTGGTCCCCAATTTGAAGGCCCTGTCCATAGCCGGCCGCCCCGTCTAACATGATCTGCATTGCCATGACAAACAGTATGGGTGAGATCGTACACCCCATAGCTATCCCAATCTGCAACTCAGTCCACCTCGTGGTAAACGTCGAAGTAGAGAAGCGCAAAGCGAACTTGGAGAAATATTGCTCGACCATTTGACTAATCTGTGCCGGTACGTGAAACATGCGAAGGGCTCGCCACAGTAGCCTATGGGGGACTGCCCCGTAGGCGTTGGCTAAGTCCAACCATATAACGTGCAATTGAGTTCTCTCATGCTTGGCTCTCTGGATAGCCTCCCAAATCATGGTCGCGTGTTCAAGGCACCCAGGAACGCCTGGGATACCACCCTTCTGAACACTCGTATCTATGTACTTGTTAGTCATCAGATACTGTGTGAGCCGGCGAGCCATGACTGAGAAGAATATCTTACCCTCGACATTCAACAGCGAGATGGGCCTGAATTGGGAAAGACTCTTCGAGTCCTGCTCTTTGGGAATGTAGACCCCATTTGCCTTTGACCACTCTGGACATATGTGGTTGCGGATCCACGCTTGTCTCAACAAAACGTGAAGCATTTTTAGGATTTTCGGGCAACGCTTGTAAAGAACGTACGGGACACCGTTCGGACCTGGGGCAGACTTGCCGCTGTCCTTTTTAACAATGTCCTCAACCTCAGACCAAAGGGGAGGTACCATTTTAAATGGTACCTTCGGCACCGAAGGCTGTTTGAGACCGCTAAGGATCTCTGGATTGTCATCGAGAGGCTCTCTCCTCTTTTTATCCGAGTACATCTTGCGTAGATGTAGCTCTAGTTCTTCCTGACTGACAACCAGAGTCCCAGACTTCGGTTGCTCGAATAGACCTCGGGCAAACTGATACAGGTCCCTAAAGAATTTCTCTTGCTCCCTTTTGGTTCTACGTCTGTAAGGGAGGTGACTACAGTATTTGAAAATATTTGTATATCGAGAAAAAGAGATCCTTTATCAAAGGTAAACTAAACTATCCAGTTTGTCATCTGTCACCATTTTTGTTTCAAACTGATTCTTCCTCATAAGAGCCAACAAGGTCTCCACAGTGAAGTGGTCAAGCCAGTTGCTTCACGCTCTGAAGGTCATGTGTTTATGTCCGTCAAGTTCATGAGTGCAGATTTTTAAGGAAATCCCTGCAGATCATCGCTGAAGCCACACACAGTTCATACTCTGTGTGATGATCTTGGTAAGTGTTTAGCTGTTCTATGGAGAGAGAATGAGCTATATTGGATAACTCATAGCAGCCAAACAATCCAGATAGCCTTTACTAATTTTGTATTTAAAAGTCAGATTGTGATTTTCATCATCTTCAGCATTCTGAGTCTTTGAGGTTCATTGCTGCTGATATCATCTCACTCTGTTCATCTCTGTCATCGGCCTTCTCTCTTCAGCTAGGGACTACACATGTTTGTAACTCTTTCTATATATCTCTGCATCAATTCTTTGTCTCATGCTTTACACCCACTTAACTCTTTGAGTACGCATTCTTTTGTCTCATTATATACCATTCTCTCTATATGCCGCAACCACTACAGTCTGTTAGTCTTCATAATGTCAGATTTTCATCTCCTTCAAGAAAAAAAATGCCTTAATTGTATTTCTCTTAGCCCATCGTATTTTTAAAATCAACTTGAGAAGCCACACCTCTGCAGCCGTCAGATTATTCTCAGCTTGTATGCTTATTGTCCAGGTCACAGATGCTCATATTAAAAATGTGAAGTATTCTCTTATGAAGGAAGCTGCTATAGTACACTAGTTAGCATGCTTGCCTACTCTTCTCCCTTTGCCTCCATCCTTACAGGAGCAGTTGGTTTGTTGTGTTGTGGTTTATAGTAAGGCTGCAACTTTCAGTCCAATATATCACACTTCAGCTAATCCCTAATTTTTTTTCAACTTTTACCATATTATTATTAGGAAGCAGTGGGTAAATTTTTTTTTCTCCATCAAAACTGGGGCCCTCGAATCCTCACTGAGAGCTCATAGGTTTGGAACCTTGAGGCTGATTTGAATCTAAACTGAAATTTGTTGAAAAAAAAAAAAAAGACCTACGGTGCTAGGTCGACCTAGTCTAGAATGGGTTCAAGGAAATGTCTTGGGAAGTAAAGATGACCAGTATGATGCTGACCACCTACCCCCATTCAGTGCTGATTGATCTATAAAAGTATGGGGACAATAAAAAGTAAAGGACCATTTCCACGCCAGTGACGCTGTGCAGATATGAAGCTAAGCTCATATTTTATAAAAGGTGAATACAGAAGAAGAAGAAGCAGAAGAAGGAAGAGGAGAGGGAGGAGGAGGAGAAGGACAAAAATGAAGATTGACAAAGTGTAAGATGTGTAAGTAACAATAAACTTGCGTACTACAATGAGAACAACAAAACCTACCCATATATTTTGTCATAAGGCAGGACTGTTTTGTCACTTGACTCTAAATCACTTACAGATTCTGGTGTTGTACGAACTGCATCTGACTGCCTGTCATATCTTTTATAAGCACTATATGCTGATGTGGACGTTGCTGTGTGGATAATAATGAAAGATAACTTTTAATGCAGAAACTTAGAAAGCAATGTCCACACCTGAAGAGAAAAATCACCAAAAAAGAATATAGCTACCTAGTGTGGGCTCTAGGAGCCCCATTTGGCCCCTTAACCCTTTCGCTGCTACGCACTCTGCCAGCTAACATTACCATTGTGCTAATCAAGTTCCTCGCTGATCCTTTCCTGTGTGCTGAATACTTTTCTATCCGCCAAGCGTAAAAGATGTGTCGGCGGTGCAGGCTATATTTTGTACACTTAAACATATTCACCCTAGGAAAGTGGGTGGTTGGCACGATAGTTGACAGGTCAGACGCACTTTGGTGACGCTAAGAAACTTCACCTTTACAGAAAGGAAACACTAAAAACTAGGTTTAATTGCTGGGCTTCACCAGGGATAGTGAAAGAAAATGTATCCTCTACTAAGTCTACTTTATCTTTGTCTCCACCGCTTCTGTATATGTAAGAGAAACTCCACGGTGGAGAGAAAACAACAATAGCCTTCCAATCGTCAGCAGGAACATTCTTTGAATGTTTTGTTTGCTTTACATTCCTTGCAGGTGGATATTGCAAGACAATTTGTTTTCTTCCTTTTTCTACTTCATCGTCTTCTCAACCGTTGCCATGTGTTTAGTCATTGCCCCGTGTGCATTTGAGGCTCTTCCTGTCCCCTCACCCTCACCGGGGAGGGGACAGAAGAACTGGTCTAGGAGAATCCTAGCACTTCACCCTGGACCGTGACTTGTGGATTACAATCCGCACTGTTGGCAATTACCCCCCCCACCTTCCACAATCCGAACCATGTAACTACTGCTTTAATCATAATTAACTGTATTCCTCGTGTTATTACTTTTTTTTTAAAAAAGAAATAATAAACACTTTGGTGATCCATTGCTGAAAGTGTTAAGAGCTGAAATTTTAAATTTACACATTTAAAAAAAAACAGGTCACAAGGACGTAAAACGCAGGACCTTTTGATTGTAAGGCAGATGTGATACCAACTACACTAGAAATTCCAATGAAAATGAGAACTAAAAATAAGACCAGTATTGTACACTGTGACACTGTCATGTCTGTTGTTTAGTACAGAAAAAACATACATTTTAATCATCATGTCAGTACGTGACCATATCCTCTTCTTGATCATTGGGGATCCATTTCAAATCCAGTTGATGTTGATGGCTGGGTCAAAGGTCAGTCTTGCTCACAGCCAGAAGTACACGTCTACCAGTGTGCCGTGAAGATAACCCAACTCATAACTCACACATTTCAATGTGCTCCTGACTATTACTCCTTGAAAGAAACCCCATTAATTCTTTATCAAGTTTAATTAACCAATTTTCTTGCTATTTTGCATGAAACTAAAAAAAAAAAAAAAAAAAAAAAAAGTAGACTTACACAAAACCAGAAATATATTTCAGGGCAAAAAATACACCGTTCACCGACCAAGCTTCTATGGTAAACAAAGTAACAGGATAACGAGGAAGGCATCTAAATACACCTAAAAACACATGATAGGGGTTTTAATTGTATGTAAATGGGTCAATCTGATCAGATTTAGGTAATTGTACTGCCATTTCACCATCGAGAATTACGGTCCTTAGCAATCCATAAGAACAGTCAAAATCGTGTTTTTACATCTTTAGCAATAAGGCGACAGAAAACGGAGGACAGAGAATTACGTCTTTAGCAGCGAAAGGGTTAAACAAGCATGTCATAAAAAGTGACTAGGATTCAGACATCGCAGCCCAACAGTAAACCACAACCACTGTGCTACAGCAGCTAAAGATAAAAGCTTCAAGAGAGATCTTATATAATACTGATTAATTCTCAATATTTAAACTATTAGTGGACTTCAGAGGTGCAAATGTAATAATTGCTAATTAGATGTCTGCAGAACTGTTGCAAATAATTTACCTATAATAACTTAAATTACTTGAGCATCAAAAATACACAAAAGGAATAAAAATGTCAGTGAGCATAATGGTATAAATGTATTTGCATATTTTAGAAAATTACATAAACTATTATTATCTTTCTTTTAACTAAGATTGTAGACCTTCAGACATCAGCAGGAATATACTTAAAGTGAGCAGCAGCCAACTACATAGGGTTTGTCCTCAAATGGAGTGAGTGTATGTCTCGATTAATTTTTCTATCTTCATATGTTAGACACTTGTAGCATTAGCTAGCTTTATCAGGCCCTTTTGTCATTAGTTTACTGGACAAGTGGTATTTTAGCCTGATAAGTTCTATGTGGTCTATGGTTTACTGCTGGTTCTCTTCTAACAAGCAAGCAGTATCTATAATCTTTCTGGTAGATATGATGCATACTTGGTTATATAAGTGCACCTTTCTGGTAGTTGGAATGCAGACTTGGTTATATAAGTGCACCTTTCTGGTAGTTGGAATGCAGACTTGGTTATATAAGTGCACCTTTCTGGTAGTTACATCTATATCAGCCTGAGGGGTAGTCTTCCACCTACCTTTGCCAATTTGTTAGCCTCTTTCTTTACTTTTACAATATGATGACATCCACTGCATTACAATCAATTTGGATTTATGACATAGTCCATAGTAGGGTTGCCAGATTTTGTAAAATAAAAAAAAAATGGACTGAGGACTTGTGTGTTTATAACAACATTTCTCACTACTAATAGGCTATAAGATGTACTTGATCAACAAACTAAATTTACTCTATAGGAATACAATTAAAAAAAAAAAAAAAAGAAGAGAAATCCAAGGAAAATGGACTATCTGGAAACCCGTCTATAGACTGCTGGGGCTCTGTGGCTTTTTAGTGAAGAAGGCTCTCCTCCGAACTTCTACCCCCGCAATTATGGCGGCCTGAAATATCTGCTCGGGGCTCAGTCCAATGAACAATGTGGACTTTCTGCCAAGGAACAAATCGCGGCAAAACTAGGATTACAAGACAATTTCAAGAGACGCAACATTGCAGACCATTGTAGCAGATAAAAGTGACCGGTGACAATGTCAAGCGTTTCTTCAGACGATAAAAGCGACCGTTGACAATTTGGAGACATTACAGACGATAAAAGCGATATGGCAGGTAGACCACGCCCTCCCACGCAGATTAGCAATACTGTTCTTCCGATTGAGGATTTAGCAGCGTTAGATGTCAGACTTGTCGGCATGCGCAAAACGCGATTAAACTCACCGCCGAGAGTATCCCCCACGCCGCTACGCACGGCGCGGACGGGGGGCTAAACTAGGTGCCTGCGTCGCGGGGGATACGGTCGGCGGTAAGGCAAAGTCACAGAAACAGGTCCACAAGTAACATATCGCTGAGACCCTGTTAGAGCATTTGTTTCATTTTTCTGAGCCGATCCTAGATTTGCCGCGATTTATTCGTCGGCAAAAAGTCAGACAAGTCCCCATTTGACATATTTGTTCCTCGGCAGAAAGTCCGAAAATGGAAAGTATCAACGGTCGCTATTATCGTCTGCAGTATTGCGTCTCTTAGAATTGTCAGGTAATCAGAAACAATAAGAAGCAGGTCCGCAAGTAACATATTGCTGAGACTCTGTTAGAGCATTTGTTTCGTTATATGGAGCCGGTATATTTTTAATAGAACTGAGCCCCGAACAAATATTTCAGGTTGCCATAATGCGGGAGTAGAAGTTCGGAGGAGAGCCGTGAAGAATTTTAATAATTTCATGATCCGCAGGTGCTAGTGTTCAACTTCCGTGGTAGGCGGTAGTTTTGTTCAAAGTAAAATATTCTCATGGTTTTCAAACAGTGATATGATATGAAGAGTCAATTACATTGTAATATTCTACACACACACAAACGCAGTGTGGCTGCACTCAAGTTAAAGTTAATCTATCTAGCCAACATTGATTTGACTGTGAAGGCGGAGGCAACACATAACCTTCTGAAAAAAATGAACCTGTAATTAACTAATTAGACTCCAGTCTGAGTAGATTGTAGTTGGATATGTATGATTTCTAAAAAAAAAAAAAGTTTTTTCTTCAAATTTAGACACAGATAAAATATAAAAATAAAAAAAAATAAAAAAAAAGAAGCAAGGCCAATCATAATCAAATCAATTAATCATATAATAATAATTTGAATGATAAATAAAAATTAGAATGTTTGAATATGTAGTTAATTATTTTTCTTTACCAATATGTTTAGCCAAATGAGTTTGTTGATTTATCAAAGCTGCAAATGGAAGGTTTAAAATCCTTTTCAACATTTTTAGTTATTGCTCTGCGCTAGTGCACACAAAAACAGTATAGCTCTGTTCGCAAGTGATATCTGCTGAAGGACGATTGCCAGAGTACCTTCCCTTGAAATTATTGGTAAGGAAATGTATCTCTTTATCGGTGAAATGTTATTTTTCCTACACTATTGTGTGCGGCTACACAATGTAGACCCTGATGTATCCTGCCATGGGTTTCTCCAGCTGGAGACAGCTTTGATCCTGCAGTGGTATGCAGGTACATATTTCTTCTTTTTAGAGTTCACCAGCTGTTAACTCCTGCTGACAGTTCTGGTTGTTCGTCCACTTCTCGGTGCAGAACGTGCATTTTGCGTGCATATTCAATTAACCGATTTGGCTCATTTGTATGCAGACTGTTGGTTATCCAACTCTTGTGTGTTACAGTTTTTAATAATATGCCGGATAGGCTATAAAAATAGTCATCACGCAGTACTGCACATACGATCTAATTTCCAAAGAATCTCCACGTGTGTGTCAGTTATTGAATATTCTAGTTTTTAGGTGCACACAAAGATGACATAAATTCGCCACTTTGAGAAAACAGCAGCACTCGTGCAATTGCAAATGATTAAATCATAAGGCCCATTGTAAAACTTCGTGTCTATCCATACAGGAGTTTTCGAGATATTGGTTAAAGTGCGAGGTCACGATTTTTGAAACACACTTCACAATGTTTTTACGTGACAGACACATTTTCTGTGTAAGCCCTTTAAATATCAACGGCTGATGCTATTGAAAACCCAATCAATTATGAGTGTCTCAATTTTATCTCATGAATAAATGCGCGCAATTACTAATTGCCTTAGAAAAATACTAAATTTCAAATGGTCAGATTTCCGAACCAATACACAAATAAGGCAAGAATCCAGGCAAGAGTATGTGTCTAATTTTATACGAAAACGCCGCTGGAACTATGTCGGCCACGCCCTTAGAATGTATAAATCAAGACTTCCTTACCAAGCCCTCATTTGGACACCACAGGGGAAAAGATCTCGTGGAAGACCAAGGGAAACTTTACGTAGAACTATCATCAGGGAAGGCTCGCTCATGGGCCACTCAAACATCCAAGACCTACAACGGATTGCAACGGACCGCCGTGCATGGAGAGTCATGACCTCTGCCCTATGTGCCGCACTCGACACAAGAGGAAAGACTAACTAACTAATTACTAATTAGCGCTTCATTATGTGTTATACGTTGTTTTGAAATCCATCTGCTGCTCTTTTCATTGTCCTTTATAGTCTCCTTCTTCTTCTTAAAGTCCATGCCGCGTGGCGTTGGTAGTCATGTCTATCCATAACCTTCTGTCTCGTGTACTTTCAATCAACTCTGACACATAGATGATCCCCCATGCCATAATGTCAAACTATTCAGCATCTTTTCTCTCGGTCTCCCTCTGCTTCTCATTCCCACCAACTTTCCTATTGTCACGATGTACTCTAGTTGTCTCCTTCTCATCGCATGACCATAGAATATTGATTTTCTCTTTCTGATGTGGGCAATCAGTTCTCTTCGTGAATTAGTATCTTTCAAGATATCCTCATCACTCTTATATGTCTAGTGTTTTCTCATCATTCGTGTATAAAACCACATCTCCGCAGCTTTCCAAAAATATTTCGCTAATTTACTAACTATCCGTGATTTACTTCCGTATACCAATATAAGATTTATAAAGCTTTTAATAATTCCCTTTCTCGTGTTAATTGACAAACAAAGATTGCATAAAATATCATTCAATTTCTAAAATGTTGCCTTTGTTGAGCTATTCTACATTTAACTTTTAAAATAAATTGTCCATCTAAAGTTATAAGGATACCCAAGTACTTAAACATCTCAATTTGCTTGAGGTTTGTCCCATTTACTTTGCTGTTGCATTTGGGAGGGCCAGTTTTCTTTGTAATTATCATTACTTCTGTTTTTTACGCTGTTCAAACGAAGACCCTTGTTCTTACTTTCCCTTACAAATATAGTCATCGTTTCTTGTGTTTTATTTTCATCGATCCAAATTATATCGATACCCACCAACCAGTATTCCTTGAATACCATGTGTTCTCCTGTGGAGCATAATTCTTTTTTTTAACTAACTCGCTCAATAGTTCCATTCATTGCCAGTGAGCGCATCTTATTTTATGCATTCTCTTTCTTGTTTCTCCTCCCTTCATTTATAAGCATTGTGGGTTCCAGTACAATGCTGTTATGTTAATATCCGATATTCTAATTTTTGTGTGCTCTCGATGAACTGGAATTTGCTGTTCTTTCTTAAAGTCCAGCATTCATAATATTAAAGTCCTGGAAACATCCATAAACAGTTGGCTAAAGTTTCTTTCTCTCTCTCTCTCTCTCTCTCTATATATATTTATATATATATATATATATATATATATATATATATATATATATATTTCTGTATATATATATATATATATATGTATATATATAAATACACACACACACACATATATATATATATATACATATATATATATATATATATATTTATTTATTTATACAAAATATAGCCCCTTTTGTACAGTTCTTTTTAAAATAATAAAAGACTATACTGCTTCTCAGTGTCCTAGGCAATGTCTCCGGGTGATCCTCATCTGAATGGTGGCACTTTGTGTCACCGGATGTTTGTCGTTCGGTGTGGTGGGGTTGAACGTCAGTCAATCAGCTTAATTTTTCTTCATTGACTCAATAACCATATGAATTAGACTACTGTAGAGATACAACGAAACCAAAACAATATGATTAAAAACTAGCATGGATTGATTGACACTTATAGAGTTGAAGAGAAGAAGTATAGATAGGAAGACACGCTGTTTCAGTGGCCTCAAGTCTTTCTCAAAGATTTATACACGAAACAAACAGTACATAGAGCGCTCCGTATTTTTACCGTGCTCAAAATTTATCAGCATAAAATTGTTCCGGTTTTTATCAAGGAGGACGTTGAGGTCAGTCACGTCGCGTAACGGTAACAATGTTCAGAGTTGCTCTCAAAGCGTCAACTTCTCTTCACAATGCAGCTAGACAATGCTTAAAAGCACAAGCTGGAGGTAAATCATTATCATGTTTGATCTGTAGTATTCTTTTGGGTGTAATTTTTCATATTTTTACCTAATCTTCATTTACAACAAATGACCTACAGATTACTGATTACAAATCAAGACCCGGGGTTCCTGGCATTTGCCATTCATTGGACAAATTCAACAAGTAATTGGTGACAGAAAATGAACGCCTCTATTCATAGCAAAGTTATATAAAATATAACCAAAAAAAAAAAAAAAAAAAAAAAATATGTTAGAGCGTATATTGGTTAGTTTTAGTTTTAACCGTTCAAAATGAATAAAAGAACTTTATAGTAAAAGATGCTGCACAATTATAAAATAAAAATCTCATTAGAAGAATTAGATTTTAGTTTTAGTCTAACATTTAGACATTACTGGCCCGATTATGATTGTTGGTACTGAAAATGTAACTACTAACGGTGCTGACTACTGTAGTCCACCGCAGAGACTAAATGCGGACGGAGCAGACTGAAAGAGCTGAATGAAAGAGCTGAAACTGGGAATTCCCTGAGTGCTATAATGGTCTTAACTAAGGCAAATTTAAGAAGATTATTTGCCGTGCGTTTCACGTAACAGGAGGATTTTCGGCTCTCCTTTAAATAACGATCGCTAGCTGGAAAGCCAACGGTCACTTAGTGGGAGTTCACTCCCTTGGTTGCAGTGCAAATACAGACCGTAAAGAGGAAACAAAACAAATGACATACTTACCTATCATCATACAGTTGCGTAGGGTTAGGGGTAGGGTTAGGAGTAGGGTTTGGGTTAGGTTAGGGTTAAATGTGACAATTGTGACGCAGGAGTTCCACATAATGGCCGACAATCTGATGCTTGTGGGAATGGCGCCACTGGATTTCTCCTAAATATGATGGCAATAGCGCGTGGCTGGTGCCCAATTGATGACGAATTGTCCGTTTGAGTAGCATCCACAGTCCATCAATTGTTTGGGTGTGTATGTCACTGTGCGCGATTATTTGGAACTCCTGCGTCAAAACAGTCACATCTAACCCTAACCCTACCCCTAACCACGCAAATTTATCGGTCATTAAGACATACAGATCTGCAGGAGTTACATTCGTGGCAACTAATAGCACTTTTATATAAGGATATATTTACTAAAAAAACACCCAGATTTCCCTGAGGCGTCAAATAAACACCCAGATCTGGGGGAATCAACCAAGCATTGGCAGCCCTGATGTCGACCTCACTGTCTGTTTTGATTCGTGACTTGTACGCTCCGTATATCTGTCACATAGTATGTGTACAGTTAGTTATAAGCATATTACATATGACATATGTACAATAATTTAACTATGTACACAGCTACTTAGGATTCGTTTTTTTTTCATTTTCTTGATCAAATAGCTGTCTCTGCAGTTCGATACAGCCACGGCAAGGAGGAGACAGATGAGGAGTTTGACAACAGATATGTCAAGTACTTTGATCGCCCTGATATTGATCACTGGGAAATCAGGAAGGCAATGAATGACATTACAGTACGTGAATCTGTTCCTTTCACTTTGTTTTATTAAAATTGTTCTGCATTTTTTTGGGTTTAATAATTATATGTGGAGTTAATATTTCTATTTGCCTGTGTGGGTTCCGGTGCCCTATTTTAGGGAAAACAAGAATAGACCAACGGCCTACCCAAAAGCATGTCGTAAAAGTCGACTAATTGGGAGCTTCCTTTGAAGTCGGAGTGCATCTGCCTAAGAGGCAAGGAACCAGCAGTCTGCACTCAGGTTCTGGAACAGGACTGCAGTCAAGAAGTGGACGAACAAGTAGAACTTTCTGCCGGAGTTTACAGCTAGTGAACTCGAAGAAGAAGAATGTTTCTATTGCCAGTCTTGAAAGATTTGTAGACATCATGGTAATGAGATGGAGGGCATGCTCCTTTATTGCCTAATGGTCATATATTTGAAACTGCTTTTAAAGCAGGGTTTCTCCTCTCCCGTGATCAAGGCTTCCAGGTTCTGTCTTCATTTACCCCATTGGCTACCACACCTGTTAACCCTTACACTCTCCAAGATACCACATATTTTAGCATGTAATAAAAATGCAATAGCTTCACACAATTTAACATCAGCTTATATTTTTGCATCAAATTGAATGGAACAAATTTCAAAAACGAGAACTGTTATCGTGTTTGACATCATCATGTGGCTGTAAATTGGTGCCCAAAAAAATGCAATCAACAAATCTTTTTTTTTCTGACAGCAATATATACTAAAAAAAAGTAAACTCCATAGCATCACAGCTTAACCTAAACCCATACAATTTTGCAGTGTTGCACCAAAGTGCATGGAGAAGGGAGAAGTTTGTAAGAATTGTCAGTCATGAAACTGTTAAGAAATATCTTCACCATCGCATTCTGATTTAAAGCAGTATCCCATCGCATTGGTAATTTTCCCCAAACTCTTCCACCATGCTGGCCCTATTTATCAGCTGCCATTATCAAAATATTCATTTGTGCACAATCCATATGGGAGCTCACAAAAAATATTCATGAAAAATTTACTTTTAGGCGCCATAATTGTTTCCCCTAAATAACCGCAGAGAAATTGATTAACAGCTTCAACTGATTTATTGCAAAAGTCACAAAGTTAACATGGTGGCGAGCTTCCAAAGTTACAATCTCAAGGGGTGTGACCATGGTAGCCAGGCGTAAATGTTAGCGTATCGCATAAAACACGATCACAGTAGTCAATGGGTTAACCACCCACCTTACTGCTTACTTCTTTACTAACTTTTAGAGCAGTATAGGACAGGGGGTGGTGTCTGGAACCTAAATATTTAGGGCTGCATGACCTCATTCGCCATGAACTTGCAGGTTATAAAATCTATTTTCCCCCCTGATAAACTTCTATGACATTACTAAGGATTTGAACCCAGATCTTTTGGCTGACAACCCGCCATTTGGCCAGTCACTCATCTGCTTCCAGGTTCACCCAGTCTACAATGAGTGTCAGTGGTTCCTGGAAAATAAAGTGGCTAGTGTGGTAATATTATCGTAGTACCCATTATATTTCTTGGTGTGAAGTGTGTCTGTGTCTTTTACTTACAAGGTACTTCGATCTATGCTTTAGGGTATATTGTATAATCAGAAAGACCCTTTTTACGCCTTCAGGTAAATTAAGCAAATAGGGCTAGGCCTATATTTTATAGACTAATCGATGGGTGATGTGGTCAGCATCATGCTGGCCGTCTTTACTTTTCAGGACACTTTATCTGGTACCCATTAAAGGCTGGATTTACCTTAGAGCCAGGGGAATTTTTTGAAGAAAAAGTTCCGGCTTGATTAGGTTCTGAACCCACAAACTTCTAATCTACAGCCGAGCATCTAGCCGCTAAACCACTGCTACTCCCGCCTGTAATTGGTGTTATTTATGCAGAATTGAAGCATACAGTGAAGAATTGTATGTTAAATATAAGGAGCCTGCAAAGGTTAAAACAGCAATAGCTAGGCCAGGCGTGGAAATTTCCTAGTATGTCATTTTTTTTGTACATAACTTTTTTGTGTTTTTGTTTGTGAACACTGGTTGTGTAAAGAAAGTTAAAATTAAAAAAAAAAAAAGATTTTATACTATAGTTTTTGCTTTGTGTTAATTTATAGGCTGAAGATCTCGTACCAGAGCCCAGAATAATTATTGCAGCCCTTAAAGCATGCCGTCGGTTGAATGATTATTCCCTAGCTGTCAGGTACCTGGAAGCAGTTCAGGTAGGGGTATTTTGGTATAAAATGAAACACTGTATGCCTTTGTGCATTGTTTGCTTTAATTTTCCTTCCACCTTTTGAGTGATGAAAGATATAACATACTGGTTTTCAGTATTCACTTACCAGATTGAGACTTAGTTACTTTTGAGGAATGGAGACTGGTTGCTATGTTCTATGTTTAAATTCTTTAAGGATTTAAATTGTCATCTAAAATGCATACACTGTGGCAGTTATAGGAACTATGACCTTCAGATGATCTTCAGGATGTGAAGAGTAAAAAGATACAGTGTGAGAGTAGACCTGAAAATCAGTGTTGAGTTCTTGACATCAGAATGCATGCTGTGGGATCTTTGCTGTGCGGCTTTAAAGAAATCTGAAATGATTTTTCTCCGCTAGTAAGAAGCAGACTGGTTATCTGGTTATCCAGCTTCGCAGCAGACAGGTCTACCCATAATTGCTCTATTTCTTTGCCAGTGAAAACCACACAAAATGCCTATCTCTGTCTTATGTGATAGGTCAGACAGACAGCAGCCCCAGCAAAATCTAATCTTGCACACTCTTGAAATGTACAAGGCATGTACCAGCATTCTGACACTGGAACTGCATTTCATAGCTGATGGAAGCAGCAGTCATGACAAAACAGCAGGTTTGTGCACACATTACTGCATAACACATACCACCAATTCTGTAACAACTAGCCCAACGTTTTTCAGAATGCAATTTACAATTGCTAAGAGCACAGATAAAAAGCATTTCAGGCACTCCACTCAGTAGCTGGCCTATGGAACCATATTTTGCCTATACCTAGTCTCTTGTCACATCTATTTTTTTGGGGGGGGGGGGGGTGTTAAACCCCCAACCTTCCACTTAATTACTGGGGACCACAATCTTTTAGGCGCAGGGGAAAGACACCAAAATGATTGCTAAGTGCTTAGGGCATCAAAGGATCTAAATCCTGCCCCGAAGGTGGGGCAGGCTTGCTTAAGAGAAGCTAAGAGACCTTGAGTCCCTTGTGTTGCACATCATTCCTCAAAAGGCAAACTGGTGTAAGATGCTGTCATCACTGAGTAGAAGAGTATGAGAATGGGCATGGAGACTACCACTGTAACATTGAAATACATGCAGTTTAATAGTTCACTTTACAAAGGCATCTGTCTCTGATTCTGTCGCAGTGGTTGGTCATTGGATGAGTGATTGCAGCTTGTAAAGGTTCCAAACCTTGAGTTCTGCCTGAATCTATTATCCAGATTAATCAGAGGCATACAGAAAAGACATTAATAAGCTAACCTCATTAGACTTCATTCAGGGGCACCAAAGGTGGACAGAAGTAAGGAGTGGGACATTTTAGCTTGGTGCGTGGTAATACCTGTCTTGATCTTCTTCTCGATTACAGTTGAAAGGAATGTCTGATTGGTTACCAGCTCATTGGAGTCGGTCAGTATAAATACCTTTTTTGATTTTGCTTGGAGAAACCAAGAACTTATTGACCTGTGCCGAATGTAACAATATACGTTCTTCAATATCAAAATCAAAATAATTGTTAAATATTGCATATGTGTTATGCACAGTAAAATGTTTTTTTGTTGTTGTTGAAGACTAGGACTAAATAGTAGTCAGTTTATGTCCCATATTACTAGTTTTGTTTTTTTTCATTCTAATCCACAGTGGAAATGTGGATCAAAGAAAAGCAAAATTTGGCCCTGGATACTGCAGGAAATCAAGCCAACACTCTCTGAGCTTGGTATCTTGACACCTGAAGAGATGGGATATGATAAGCCTGAGCTGGCTCTCAAAAATGTGTACCTAATGTAAAAGACTCCCAATGTTAAAACAGGTTTGTGTGGGTTGTCTGTTTTTATGCCTTTGAAGCTAACTTGATTATAAAATTGGTTTTCTGGCAGTTTATCCTTTAAAAAAAAGGAGGGTTGGGGGGGTGGGGGGGGGGGGTGGTGGTTAGTAATCTGCTAATCCAGCAGTTAAAATGGCTTCCTGGTTTTCATTTGAATTGAGGAAATTGAAAACTATTGTAGTGGAGTTGGTGAATCACCTTAGTCAAGCTGGACTGATCTGTGTTTGTGTTGTTTTCATTGTGGACATAAATTTGGTTTTAGTACACTGAGTATAGGCAACTAATTTTGACAGATGGTTATGTTAAGCAAACCCTTGTCAGGCTAATATGTGAATGTTGGATTTAGTGTACCATTGCTGTCTTTGGGAATAAAATGTGGTGAGACCCATATCTTTCATGGTCTGAGAGTCTGAAGACCACAAAAATGTACACACACGATACAAATTTAATTAAAAAAAAATTGGCTCTCCGTCATATGAATCAGACCCTTGTTAGCAAGGATCATGGAATTGCGTCCAGTTAGCCTGTAAACCACAAATCTGAGCTAAAAAAAAACCATTACTGACGGATAACCCATCATGGCTTGTAAAGCAAATTAAAAAAAAAAGGAAGAGAATATTAATGATAAATATTCATAGATTTACTGTTGCTATATTTTTTGGTCTACTTTCAGTGAGTGGCCAGAAAGTGCTATTCCAAACAAACACTTCAGGAAATAGTTTGTATGTCTGTTGTTTCAGTGGTAGAACATTTTTTCCTTAGTTTATAAAAAAAAATAAAAGAGTTGAATTCCAACCATGTAATCCGTTTTGTTTGTTTGATTGTATGTTTTTCTTTTTTAAACTGATTGTATAATCATATAAGTTGCACATGGTGCTGATATACAGCTTAGGCAGTATTTTTTTGTAATACCAACAGTGATGCAGGTATGCTGGACCACACATGGTGGTGCATATTGGTCAAGGCCTGTCTACACCTCTTTGAGGTCATCGTAGACAAATGTTCCTAACTTCTCCATGTGGATTCCGGGGCCCTATTATTGGGAAAACCAGAGTAGACCCCCTGCCTTCCTAAAAACATGTTGTAAGAGTCGACCAACTGGGAGCTTTCTTCAAAATCGGAGTGCAACTGCCTGAGGGGCAAGCTAGGAACCAACAGTCTTCACACAAATGAGTCAGATCTGTCAAACGAATGCACAAAGCCAAAGTCTAAATGAATGCAGAAAAAGAAGTCTAAAGTCTAGAAGTGGATGAACAACCAGGACTTTCTGTTGAGGTATACATACGGTGAATGAAAAGTAGAAGATGAAAACCCAGAGAAAGCAGGCTGTCTTTTGTCTAGCTCCATGTGATTGGTGAAGGGATGGATGTAGCTGTAATATTGTACTCCATGTAAAGATGGTGCCTTTGGATCATCATATTCATGTGCAGTGTACTCTCTTCAAGTTGTCTATCAATGTTTTTCATTTCTTACTCTGGCTATGTAACAAGATTATTTTATGGTTTGGTGCCTCTATTGATTGGTGATCAAGCTGTAATTCGTAAACCATTTTATTGTGAATTATGTACATCATGTTTTATGCATTCTGCATTCCCCCTCTAAAAGGCACCTTGTGTTATGGTTTACAAGCAGCAATATCTGTACTTCTTGGCCCACATATCTAATCTAGCTTGTTAAAAGAGTTCTTTAACCCGTAATAGAGCCCTTAGAGCGCAAACAGGAATAGTGTCGTATATTTCTGATACTGTCTGCCACAAGTCTTGGAGCTAGGCCTCACACTAGCAAAGACCATTGGAGTAATTTTTTGTGTGGTATGGCTTATCTATATAGAGTGGGTCTGCAGCCTGGTTGTGTTTTATGTTCACCAATTGTCACTACCAGGACCTGTATTTTGCGTGTACGTCTGATTTACTGGCTTATTTGTGTGCAGTTCTTCCCTGTCTTAGGGCAGATACACTCTGATGTTGATCATCTAGGATGACTTTGGCCATTGTTTTATGAGACATGATGTTGCCTCATTTGTATGGTGTCCTTTTTCTGTAGGTGTTGCTGCCTCAGAACCCTTCTAGAGTGACCACTGACAGAGTGGTTGGCCCCCAAGGAGAGGCAGGGCTGTAGATTGTGGGTATTCCCCACCATCCAAGGAGGCTTCCATAGATGCAGAGCATACATATAATGCTCTGGTCCTGGACTGACTCAGGGAATCATCACACCCTGCACATGACTGCTTAACCTCACAACCGAATGTTGAACTTTCCACTCTTCACGGGCTTGCCCTCCGGAGGTCAGCAGGTCCAGGACTTTAATGACTACACAGATACATTTTTCTTCATCACGTTGGACACTTTTAACGTTTTAACTGTGCATTTAGCACGGGAGTATTGAGAAGCATGAATCAATCAGTAGGAATTTTAATGGTTGAACATTGAGACTTTGCTGGTGTGCCTTATGACATATATTTGTCAGCATTGGAGCCTAACCAGCAGGCTGACAGTGGCTGTGTGGTGTACGTCAGCGCAGTGATAATCTTGATGATCAACAGAGGATGTTCAAAGACAGGATTTTACCAGGAGAAACCGCCCTTAGGAGATGTTGCTCGTCTAAACTGTGACCAAGTCCCTTGGTCTAGATCTGCTTCTCAGCGGTAAAAATGTATTTGTTTTCCCACTTGACCAGCTCTGAGATCTTCGACCTACTCAGTTAATGCTCTTCTGAGCCGTTATCCGTGACACAGAATGGGGACATGCAGCAGAAGTCTTGCACGAGGTTTTGTAAAGCCAGCACAGATAAGACTGGTGCCGAAGGGGAGGTACACAATATCTCTTTATACATACAACATCTCCATTGCCTTAACTTTTCCTTGCGCCTGTGACAGAAATAACCCCACCAGAAGTTTGACTTTGATAACAGCTATTGGAAGTCTACTGGCATGTTGCATAGACCTTTAAAATACTTTGGTGTAGTTCCCTAAGATTTCTCAGTATTCATATTTAATCTGTATTATGAAGTTCCTGAACAATGTCACAGTGAAACTTTTTTTTTTTAAATTCACTGATAAAAAGCAGTTCTTCATGTTTAGTTGTCTGTTCACTCATTTGTCGCATGTCTGTTAATTACAATGGCTTTTAAATAGACTTGAGACAAAGAAGCTAGCCCCTTTATGGCAGTAAATGGGTCGTCATTCATTTTCCTGGTAATAGCATTTTCACCATATGCCTCTCCACAGTCTGTATCAGTTTGTGTGTCGACTCCCCTCCATGCCATGACAAAAGTCAGTGAAGAATCGTCTGTGTCTTTCTCTTTCTCCACAAATCTTTCCAGTGGTCACATGATTAAGTTTACTGTTTTCATAACATGACCAGAAAAAAAAAATTATGTAGTCTCCTTCTGATGTTTATGATAAGTTGTCTTCGAGTCCTCACCTTTTTCAATACAACTAGGTTTCTCTTTTGGATGTCCAAGGACTCTTCTGTGAAACCACATCTCTGAAGCCTCATCAATTGTTTGGTTTGTTTATTATGTGCCCAGAAGAGGAGAGGTTGTTACATTTGTGTAATTCACTTAAGTTTTAAAAAAGCTGTCCGGCCAAAACGTTACGTTGTATTGTTTTGTGCACGTTTTTCTGCTTTTTCCCATTTTGTTAATCTTTTTAGTCAAATTTTCCTGGAATTCCTTACAAAGTACAGCCAAGTCTGGATAAGTAGAAGTCGCAGGGACTTGAGAAAATGCTTCCACTTATCAGGACTTCTACTTATCCAGACAACACACACAATAGAGCAAATTGCCGGGACTAAGCTGATCATGTAGACTTATCTGAGTTCGACTCAAGGGACTCGACTGTATGCACAAGTTCTTCTTTTAACGTTCTTTATCTCTGGTCCATTGGATGTTATCCATTTGCCTAAAATTTCTGTACTTGTCCTAAAATAACACCTTTGACTTTCATTATCCATTTAGGCACTATTCTTTTCTTTGATATTACCATAACTTCTGTCTTTCCATTATTAAAGCATAAATATATATGTCTGTTAAAAGTTTGAGACCTCTCAGAGCTGAAGTTTCTTAAAATATGCAAAAAAACCTATTAAAAGTTGTGTGTAATAATTACTACATTACCAGCAGAGTGCCAATTAATTACCCAAAAAAGAAATGTCAACATCAAATACCTGAAAAGTTTATGTTTGTGAGTGTTTGGGTTTGTGTATAATACCAATATATTTCACAAGAAAGATCAGAAGTGTTAACTCTTTGTCACCGAGTGCATATTTATTAAAACTTTTGAAGTTACAAGTATGACACTACATCATTGCAAAAGAAAATACAATGCTCTACACAGAGAAAGTTAAAATGGTGATGAAGAATGCAAGCATTCATGGCTTGTTTTTCTTATAAAGAAATTATACATTCAGGATACTATGTCATCTATTTCAAATTAGTGTACGACATAAATTGGCGTTTGTGGCTTAGACATTGCGAACACACTTTGTAATGCCGTGGTGCCGGGATCGATCCCAGATACGGACGGTTTGTTTCGACAGTGGCACCGAGAGCTGACAGTAAGTAGGGGCAAACTACTAAAAGTATTATTTGCCTAGGAAAACCACATCAACCGAAAAAAAAAAAAAACCGCAACTAACAATTTTAGCGCAGTCGATAGGAGGCTAGCTTTCAAATCTAGCTGCGACTCGCTGCATCCACGGTTGGTGTTCGAAACCGGGCGATTCCCGAGGTTCACCCAGCTTCTAGGAAATGGGTACCAGAGTAGGAACTCTGGGGTGAATGGACGAACGTCGCTGTAGCTACGGGGTTACGTGCGGACGGCGACACAGGCGGACACTTTCTTTTCAGATTTCCGTACTGGTGGCAGAGCATTTGTGGTTTATAACCGTTTGCAATGACGCTGGTTCACATCTCCCGACTTTACCTTACCTTTACATAAATTGTAACTTGGTTACTTAAATAA